AAAGGGCGCACACAGGGCGCACACAGAGCGCACATGATAACAACTTCCACGAATGCACAGCGTGTTGCTAGCGCGCTGGACGAATAGTCCACGCATGCACCGCGTTCTACGACGCACGGCCAGCGCATTGGAAATCGGAAAAGGCCGTGTGCCTAACTTTTGTCATAATTTTGGAAAAGCTACCGAGCTGACACAAAATGCACAGCGTGTAGCTAGCGCGCTGTGCGTATACAGGGCGTGTGCTCCGCGCATGTCTGGCGCTGGTCTAGCGCGCTCCACGCATGTCTGGCGTGCCTTTGGCGTGTACATTCATGCGTCGAGCTCGGCGCACGTTTTTGAGCATGCTCAAACAATCCCGACGCACACAGAGTATGACGACGAATGCATAACGTGGGTCCAGCGCACTCGACGAACGAGTAACGAGTGATGACGCACGCCTAGCGAACGACAACGCACTGGCCAAAATTGCAAATTTTCTATGCGCTGGCCGTGCGTTCCCCATGCGTCCTCCCTGTGTGACCGGGCCGCGAATTTTTTTTCCGTACTCGAGAGGGCAAATACCCCATGTGCGCATGCGCGTGGACTTTGTGATTTCTCTGCTACTTCCCATACGAAATGTACATGTATTCGCATCTACTGTGCACGATTCGCGTTCTACGAGTAAACGACGGCATAGTAGTCTTCAAACACAGACTCTGATTTGCCAGTTTGACAAAACAATTACGCATATATCGTGCGTAGCAATAGTACTAGTATTCAAGTCTGAGTAGTTGTATGATTCAGACATTTTAGTGCTTACAGAAATGCATCCCAAATTGAATAGCATGGTATAGTAGTCTGCAAGCACAGACGCTAATCGGACAGTTTGACAACATAGTGTCAAGATGATTGAATCATTTATTTCATCATGTGTGTTTGTTCTATCACGATTTTATTATTAATTTGACCATGGATTATACTGACAAAGGAGTTATTAGACCAAAGTTAGAAATATTATTACAGAATGACGGTTTTGAGAAGGCCAATAAATGACCTCATGGTGTGTGGGTTTGTTCAGAGCCAGAAGGGCATTCGTTGTGTTAAGAGTTAACATCCTTCTGGCTCTCAGCAGACCATGATTATAAATAAAAGTAATACAGAGAGTGCGAGCATACTGGAGGGAGGGCTAGAGAGAGAGAGAGAGAGAGAGAGAAAGAGAGAGAGATATGGAGAGAGAGAGAGAGAGAGAGAAAGAGTGTGAGAGAGCAGTGGCACAATACATAGGCCTACCATGGGGTCTGGAATCATTAAACTACACAAACTTGCATAAAATCACTACTCATCAATACACAATATATTATTATGTCCTTGCAGACTACTATACTACACTCTACACATTGAGATGCATTTCTAACGCACGCACCAGTAGGGTCTGAATCATACATCTACGCAGACTTGAATAAAGTACTTCTCAGCACACTACTAGTATGTTGTCAAACTGTCAGATTAGCGTCTGTGCTTGCAGACTACTATACCATTCTATACAAGTTGCAATGTATTTCCATATGCACTACTGGGTCTGAATCATACAACTACACAGACTTGAATAAGCACATCGCGACACATACGCATATTGATTTGTCAAACTGGCAAATCAGAGTCTGTGTTTGAAGACTACTATGCCATCGTTTACTCGTAGAACGCGAATCGTGCACAGTACATGCGAATACATGTACATTTCGTATGGGAAGTAGTAGCAGAGAAATCATAAGTCCACGCGCATGCGCACATGGGATTTTTGCTCTCTCGAGTACGGAAAAAAAATTCGCGACCGGGCCTTTAACGTTTCATTAAATTATTAGAGAAAGAAGACGATTCGTTGTACCGTTCTCGATTCTTAATCATTGTCTGAATTCAGTTTCCATACCCCCTCCCACGCGAAGCGCGGAAGCTTTGACGTTTCATTAAATCATTAGAGAAAGAGTACCGTTTTCGACTCTTAATCCTTGTCTAAATTGAGTCCCCCCCCCCCCCTCTCCCGCGCGAAGCGCGGAAGCTTTGACGTTTCATTAAATTATCAGAGAAAGAAGACGATTCGTTGTACCGTTCTCGGTTGTTAATCATTGTCTGAAATCAGTTTTCCCCCTCCGCGCGAAGCGCGGAAGCTTTGACGTTTCATTGAATTATTAGAGAAAGAAGATGATTCGTTGTTTCATTCTCGACTCTAAATCCTTGTCTGAATTCAGTTTTCCTCCTCCCGCGCGTAGCGCGTAAGCTTCTGACGCTTCATTAAATTTTGAGAGAAAGAAGATGATTCGTTGTCTCATTCTCGATTCTTAATCCTTGTTTGAATTCATTTTCCACCTTCCGCGCGAGGCGCGGAAGCTCTGACCTTTCATAGTTTAATGAAATTATTAGAGAAAGAAGATAATTCGTTGTTCCATTCCCGACTCTTAATTCTTCTCTGAATTCAGTTTTCCCCTCCAGCGCAAAGCGCAGAAGCTTAACGTTTCATTAAATTATTAGAGAAAGAAGATGATTTGTTGTCCCGTTTTAGACTTGTCAAAAATGTTTCTTTGTCTGCTCCTTTTTCGTCCTATGTCCTCTTACTGCCCCTACCGCCCCTAGCTACGCATGCTTTAAAGGGAAAATGAAACAATCATGATTGTGATAGCATACAATTAGGTCAGTAGAAATGAAAGGGGAAAAAAGATCTATGTATACACCAACCATGAAATAATCGCGACCGGGAGCGTCATATCTTAGTTTTGTGTTATCGGGCGAGGGCCGGAGCGGAGCGACCAAGCGAGATTTTGCAATGTAGAATGCTGAAATTATGCATTCTAGAAAATCCTTAAGTCCAATATGTACGTTCTTTCCGCTACATGTATATTTCTTTCTAGCTATAAAACTAAATTTCCGGGGGGACGTGTCTCTCTATCGGGCCCAGGATCGCCGCCGCTGTCCATTATCACTACCTACATGAGTTCAAATATAAGCACAAGCGAGTTGGTATGAGCTGAATCCAAATGAAGGGCAAAATAAGAGTTGTGAAGCGGCCCTACCGTTAATTTAAAATTTGACTGTTTAGTATATAGCTTCTATTTGAAAGACATCCAAAACATTGTGCCCTTTTCAATTTTTTTCAAAAAGCAGGGGCTGTTTGTAACGTTTAACTTTGAATCCATGGCTCGAGATTTTATGCGGCCGGCTCGGCCCCCTCTATTCAATAATGTTTCCCAAGCCTTCTGGAATGACCCCAAATCTCCCGATTACAGTTTTTCCCTTATTCGTCGTTACTGTCACTTAGCGCCATTTCCTTGTCTTTCCCCCTTTCTCACCCGACTTTTTTCTTCCCTTTCCCACCCCCCCCCCCCACCCACTCAATGTTATCTAGGGTATGCGCATGTATGTTCCCTCTCTTAGTTTGAAAGCACCCCTTTATCTTCGATGTGTAGAGTCAGTGCGGGCCGGATTTGTGTGTATTACGGGCCGGACTTTGTTGCGTGAAAAGTAACCCTTTATCGGAAATTTTGGGAACACAAAATCGGTCCCTCCGACCCCGGAGTGCGAGTGAGGTGGGGGGGGGGGGGGGGGGGGTCTTCTTCTTCTTTTTTCTTTTTCTCTCTCTCTCTCTTCTTTCTTTTCTCTTCTCTTTTCTTTTCTCTTCTCCTTTCTTTTCTCTTCTCCTTTTTTTCTTCTCTTCTCCTTTTTTTTTTTCTCTCTTTTTTTTTGCGCCGCCAATAGGGGGGGCCGCGGCCGTTTCGGCCCCCCCTGGATCCGCCACTGTATTGTAGGCATCATTTTGGCGCAAGTCGATTGTTGCACTCTCGCAAATATGCCTCCTGCTCATCCAAGCGTGAACACATACCACACAAAAAGGATACCAAATGATTTGGGATAAAACAATGTTTTATAAGATGTATACTAATTTACTGTTCATAGATGATGTTTAAAATAACGGTGTAAACTTTTTTCTTTGACTCACACGGTATAAAGCCAAGTTATGAGAAAAACACGCAGAAAATAGTTTGGACTGATACATTTGGCTGATTATATACTTTTGTATGATACAAGTATAAAATTACTCTTTTACAAAAATCTAAGCCTGCACCAATAATTTTCATGAATTTATGCCTTTTTAATATTTATTGGATGTAGCAGGCGCGGATCCAGGGGGGGGGGGGCGAGAGCGGGCCTTGCCCCCTGCCCCCCTGGCCCCCAACTTTTTTGGTTGTAATTTGGTGACCAGAAATTTACCTTTTCTTTTTTGCTCAAGGGAGGAGGGGGGGGGGGGGGGGTGTTTAGTAAAAAAAAAAAAAAAAAAAAAAAAAAAAAAAAAAAAAACCGCTATCTAGACTAACCTCCCTTCACTGAGCGAAATATCGGCCGGTGCGATTTTCAAAGTCGGGTCAAAATAGAAGAATTTTTTTTTTAGTGCTGATTACCCCCCGCCCCCCCCCCCCTTATACCGTTATTGATCGCACTTACAAATACCCTTGTTATCGGGTCAAAATAGAAGAATTTTTTTTTAGTGCTGATTACCCCCCCCCCCCCCCCCCCCCCCCCCCCCCCCACCCTTATGTACCGTTATTGATCGCACTTACAAATACCCTTGTTATCGGGTCTTTTAGTGCTCTCTCTCTTTGAAAGAAATTTTGAAAAATTATTGTGGAAAAGAAAAGAAATAATTGGAAATAGATATGCATGCTGAACGAGGAAATTGTTTAAACAAATTATGTGTGATTTATTTAAAATGTGAAACCATAATTTTGTTTATATGAATATTTTTTTTCTGTAAATGTGTAACTTCATCCGGAAAATTTTATTTGTAACTTTAGTGTTCGCTTGCAAAGTTGAAAATTATTTGTAATTTTGTATAAATGTTATAAATTATGTGAAATTTCCTTTAAGAGAGAAATTAATAAAAACCTATGAAAAAAAAAATTCATTCAGACCCGAAATTAGTTGAAAAACTCTCCCGCTGTGTCAGACAGTCAGTAGCCCCGTGGCTTACCATAAGCACAGCCTTTACGAAAAGCCATCTCTGGAACTGCGTTTTGTCTGGGGAATTTTAACATCGCTTTTAACCTGCTTTGTATGATGTTTAAACTTTTGGAATGGACGGTAAATATAATATGATTTAAAGTGTTTGATATAGTTCGATATCTCAGGGCATCACCTTTTGCGTAGGTATTTACGGCAAAACATATATAGACCCTAGATCTAGGTCTAGAGTCTACGCGTTACTTTTGCGACCCGCAGGATTGTGGCATGTTTTCACCGGGGTTCCACGGGAAACTGTGGGGCGCAGAACCACCGGTACCGCACTGCTGCTCACACTGGGAAATGACTCCAGTCATGCATCATGGGCATTTTTCTTCTTTACCTGAATTCTACCCGATTTTTGGGAGAAAATTCTTGTAATATCACCAGCCATGCTTCCATTGTCGCTCTAGGTTATTATACATGATGTATCTGGAGGTATGTTTTGCTGTTTTACTTTAGGCCTAAACAGCCAAGGCAAGTTAAGTTAGATCTAGACTAGGCACATTCATGGGGCACTAGAGGGCGCTTCGGTCGCGTACGAAAATCTGAATGGCCTTGCTGCGGTGGGTCGGCAATAATCAGCCCAAAACTTGGATATGGGAGGTTGGAAGGATATATCTTTTTTATAATGTTATCCGGTCTTACCCTTAACCATCCTATGTTTAATCTATGTAGGAATAACATGCGAGTATGATCACTATGATAAGAGAAACATCGGGACCATTACTGAAGTAACTTTTAAAATATTAGCCTAGAAATGACCACCAAACGGAAAAAATTGACATTTTTTCCCGACAAATCTTCATAAAATCTGAGTTATAAACAATTCACATCTAGGTACACTAGAGTCTAATACAAATACGATTTTCTGAAAATTCATGTATGATTTTTTAAGTTTCTTTCAAGTATATTTCTGCGCATTGCAGCGCCAATATTCTTCACTGCTTCAAAATCACCCTTGATTTTTTTTTTTGCAACGAATTTGATACGAGGTCCGCGAGTGTTCCCCGTTCCTTGCGTGTTGAAAGTTTGGTAATACATAGTTTGCATTGACTCGCGCACGAAAAAATGGTCAAAAACAAAATGTCAAATGAAGAAATAAACAAGCTTTTGTATAGTTATAAGAGTTCTACCGAGGTTTCTTTGTCGATTTAATTTATTATATAGTCTCAATTAGAATTCAGAATTATCTCACTGAAAAGTTAAGAAACCGACGATGTTCTCGATCGTAGTTATTTTTATTTTGCCAGCAGCCGATCTAGCGTTGTTTGGGCAAAAAGCTAGGCCGCTGCCTTCCCACCGCGAACCTTTCCGAGTCCCGCTAAAATGGCGCGCTGCGGAGCTCCGAAGCTGCGTTGGTATCGCTGCAAACTCTCATCCGGCTAGCTCCCCACGACGGACCATTCGCGGTATGGTGAGAGTGTGTGTGTGAGGTATGATTTTGGATTCAAGAACGCGCGTAACGCAACCGTGCACGTCATTTAGAGCTGTCGAATGTGTACGACCAATTTTACATGTACGATTTTTAGTACAGATACTTGGTCAGTTTTCTTCTTATATCTTTGGTTTTACAACATTTAAAAATATAATTTATTCAAATCTGCTCCTGACTCGGTTCAGACTAATTGTCTGATGTGTTTTCAAGTCAATTTTTTGAATATATTTTTTTGCATGAATTTGCCTATCTAGACCTAAGTAAACTAAAAGTTAAGTTTAGGACTCTAGATCTAGACTAGAGCCTAGAGGTCTACTTAAATTATTTAAGACTTGATGCGTGACTAGTAGTGACCTTGGCAGCGTTTCATGAAACCATCATAAGTACAAGTTCACCGACATCCCATTGAAACGTGTGTTAAAGGTAATACAAAGTTTTGGTATGGGGTCATGAATTTGGTTCAAATTAACATATTGGAAGCATATGCGATCTTTAACAATTCAGTGATCGTTGTCGCCGTTGAAATCAAGTCTAAAGTTATGAAATTGAAAATAATACACTCTTTATGTTGTATAGCTCCCTCTCAAGGTCAAGATATTAATTAAGCCATAAAACAATGTTTCTTGACTAAAATCGACCGATTAGCTATTTCCGTTGGAAAATTATATATCACAACTACACATTCTGAGATTTTCATGGTCGCAGGTACCATTATACGGCCGTAGGCGCTATTTGAAATTCATCAAAATTTACCGGGAGCACCGGTAAATTTTTTATAATCAATTTTTCTCGAAAGCAGAAGTGTTTTAGGGGCTAAATTTTCTAGTGCTTATAATACATCCACAGGGGCATCCAAATATATCAAAATTGTAAGGAATCACTATCCACCAAATTTTCAAATTTCCCAAAACTTTGTATTACCTTTAAACTTAAATACACACATTTCAATGGGATGCCGGTGAACTTGTACTGGTTTCGTGAGACGCTGGGCTATACTATGCATGACTAGTCTCTCTCTCTCTCTCTTGATCTCTGGCGCTGCTCTCAATCATGTTGCATCCCTTACAACTTGTGCATGATCATCGTTCAAAAGCTTACTTCATGAGCTTTCAAGAACCCTCAAACACAAACAAATTAACATGTACATGTAGGCCTAAACAACATTAAAAATGTTGTACTTTATTTATAATTCTAGACTTAAAATATGTATGATCGCCCTCTATATACACTGTATTCTGTGGACCTGACAATATCCCCATTAACCCAATTTGACCACATGAACAGCTGATAGTGAATCTAAATTTTATAATAAATTTAATGTTTTTGTTAATACTGCAAGAGTTTTATTGAAAAGAGGCCTTATTTTCGGGTCATTCAATCTTGAATAACAATATTTTAAACATCCTAATAAAAAACATTCTTATGTTTTTCTTTTTTGTGTGTGTTGAATCAGAGAAAGTAAGTGGTCAGAAGAGGAAGCGTGAGTCTAGTGAAGAGGAACCAAGCAAGCTTACAACCAACAAACAAGTAGTGGAAGAAGGGAAGTCATGGTGGACATGTATGATGCTAGGAGTACATCAAGATAACACCAAGCCACAGGGGAGGAAAGTGAACATGACCCAGAAAGATAACTCAGATAATAAATGAAATGAAAAAAAAACATTGATTGCTGCCATCCCAGCAGAACATTGAACCAATCCATTGCCTTGTTTCAGGCTCCTGGACAGCTATTGGTGCAGGGAAACTATTCAGGTAATGTTATTACATTTATTTGGGGATTTAGAACATAGCATACAAGAAAGAAGTAATGAGAAGAAGAAGAAGGTGAAGAAGGATAAGAAGAAGGATAGGAAGAAGAAGATGAATAATAAAGAAAAGAAGAAGTACCGTAATAGGAGAAGAAGGTGAAGGAGAAGACGAAGACGGAGGAGGAGGAGGAGGAGGAGAAAAAGAAGAATAAAAAGTAGATTATTGCAGTCAGATGAATAATAAACTACAGTACGAGTTTACATGTACATATATATTCAATTTCACAGCCATAAGGAACTTGCACTTTATGGACTGAAAACATCTACATAAAAGTTAAATGTAGGAAAAGATGAAAGAGTGAATATCAGTCTAAAAAATGCATGTCTTTCAATTCCCCCCCCCCACCCATTTTATGTACACCACCGTGACAGTCATGGCAAGTGAGACTAGGGATCCTGATGTTTGTGAGCAGTGCCAATCAATACGGCCGGCCACACCCCCTCCAGATTCCTGCTGTGGTTCTGGGTGTGCAGTGTGTGTCTATGATATTCATGATCAGGAGATACAACTGTGGAAAAAGACTTGCAAGCGTAAACATGGTGCAGAGGAAAGTCAGGTGAGTTTCATTTATTCCCCTCGAACTTGAAAGTCGTGCTTCAGTTACTTGGAGGATAAGAAGCAAGTTAATTCTTCGATCAAATCCATGGTAATTTTCTATATGCTGATTGTTGTGATTAACTTAGTGGAATGGAATAAATGTATATTTGGAACTACAGTGCCCTGTACATTAAAAGGAAGAAGAGGTATCTTGTTCGAATAACATTTTCATAAGTAAAGAACTTGGGATGTAACTAGTACTACACATAACCTCACTGACTTTGATTAATTCATTTTGTTTTTTGTTCTTTGTCTGACTGCTGGATGTATTCTTCATCATCATCAACTTCAGGTGGCGCTGTAAAGCGCTGCTGTGGTCTTCACGAGAGCACGCCATGCAACTCATTCACTTGCCATTTGTGTTGGACCTTTCATTCCTTGTCCAGATACTTTCTTGATATCATCAGTCCAAGATATTGGTGGACGACCTCTACCCTGTTTTCCTTTGACTGCTCCTTGCAGTGTTTGATTCTCAACACCTTCAGATCTCCTAACAATGTGCCCAAAATAGTTTAATTTTTCTTTCCATGATTCCCCTTCTGATGGTCAAGTCTGTTCCAATCTTTTCCAGGACTCACACATTTGTCTTTTTATCTTTCCATGACACCTACAACAGCCTCCTGTAGAACCACATTTCAAAGGCATCAACTCTCTTTCTTTCTGTCATTCTTTGTCATGGCCCAGGACTCACTTCCGTAAGTCGCAATAGAGAAAGAAGTTGCTTGAAGCAGACGAACCTTCAGACTGAGAGATAGGCCTCGGCTCTTCCAGGTGTGAGACATATAATTCTTAAATGTTTAGTATGTTTAGTATTAGAACTACTTCTAATAATTTGTAATTATGTTCCCTTTGTTCAAGATTGAAGACAATGGAACTGTAATGGACCTGATGGACTACAGATATTACACTCTGCAATCGATCATTCCAGTCTGTGCAAATACAGCTGTGTACAGATTCATGCTTCCACCTGGAAGGAAACTGGACCTGTCTATTGCAAAGCACATCATTCTCAGGTAAAACTTGTAGGACGTCAATGTTTATTATTTTAGAATATTATAAGAATACCGGTAATAATGCTGCCACCATCTCTTCCTTTGGAAAGTTTGTATTTGCTTTTACCATATTTAAATTTTTTAGTTTTTATGCCTCCGCTACATCCCATTCTCGCGATCGTTTTATCTCAAGAACCAATCGATGGATTCCCGCCAAACTTATGTCCTTTATGTATCTTGCAAAGCTAATGAACTTATTAGATTTTGGGGTCACGAGGTCCAAGGTCAAAGGGTCATACAATCAAACTTGAATTTTTTACAAATTGCTTCTGTTTTTGGTTTGTAAAATCGCTCTATGGCTGAGGCATCATTTTTTGATTGCGTGCAGTCGAGGGTCCATCTTGTTGTTGCTGTGAAGCTTTTATGGCGAATGTGTTTCTTTTATGTGTATCATATTGTGTCTGCATGTGGTGTAAAAGTTCTCTCTACCTGCTCATCTTGTATAATGTCAGGTGACACTCTTTTTGTTTCTCCTTTGGTATGATCCTCATAGGGGTATACACAATGGAAAGGTGATAACCAGGCAATACACACCAATCTCTTCACCACATGATGCAGGGTTCTTTGAAGTCCTTATTAAGGTATGCAGAACGATATTTGTAAGAGACTGTTAAAGGTAAAGACTAGTATTGGAAACGCCCCAATTTCAAAAAATGAAATGGAAGCTCTCATTACCAATCATGTGAAAGAATATGTTTTGACTAATACATGATGATAGAAAATTTGCAGGGAAACCGCCTACTAATTCATATATTTGGTAAATTTGTTCCTCTCATGGTCTGTGAGAGATATAGGGTAGTCCCATATACATCTTTCTGTGTATAGTGCTTGTAACTTTACGAAGAATGGGCCAAATTTCTTATCATTTTGATGATTCCAGAACCTTGCAGATGCTAGATGCTAGATGATCAACCTTTTCTGATCGATTCCACAACGTTTCTTTCACAATGCAATCGCATGACCATAACTGGTCTTTACCTTTAAATGGTGTTGTATGAAACTCTCAAAAATCTTGAGAGGTTTGGACAGAAGATATAGTACTTGTACTTATTCTTTTTTTTAATTGAATGTGCCTCTCTGTATATTCATGGGCAGAAGGGGCTAGAACTAAAATGGATTTTATAGCTACATGCCTATTAAAGAAGAAAATACATTTCTTAATTTTGTTTTCAGTCTTTACCAGCACTAGCAAATCAAGATCATTGTCTAACAGCCTCTTAGACATTTTAACAGACTAATTTTTGTATGCCAAAGGTTTTTTTTATGGCCATACACAGGAATGACACTTCCTCACACTACTGAGAAAATATAACATGATCTTAATTGTGCTTAAATTTGAGAATGGAGGACTACATACTTATTAATTGATCATGATATGTGATTTATCTTCTGTTTTTGTAGTTGTACCTCAGTGGAGATATGTCTCAGTACATTAAGCAATGGAAGATAGGCGATGGAGTAGAATGGAGAGGACCCTTTGGGGCGTTTACATACCAACCAAACGAGGTAATCTAACAGTTCATAGGAGCCAGAGTACAATTCATTTATATACCAACCAAACAAGGTAATCTAACAGCTCATAGGAGCCAGAGTACAATTCATTTTGATTTGATTTTCTATTGAAAACATCAGCCGTCCTCTTTGGCACTTTGTGGAAGGTTTCCAGACCTAAGTTACTCCCATTTTTTCTTAGTATTTCATCAAATTGATTGAGAGAGATATACTTATGAAGTGTATTTCTCCTTCAGAATTTTTTCAATTATTTTTCATTAAAGAGCGTACGTAAGAAAATGAAGTTTCTAAAGATGTATCCCATTGTTCAAATATAACAAATCCTATGCACACAGACCCCTTAAATATGTAAAAAAAAAAAGAAGCTGTTTTGTGTACACATTTTCCCAATATTTTGCCTCGTACCCTTAGGTAAAGAGTTATTGAGGAGCTTTGTTTATCACGATAGAACGTTGCAAGCCTTAGGCAAAGTAAAGAGAGTAGTTCAATAAATGACCTTGTAGATAAGTGAGATTTACATATTCTTCTGAAATAGAGCATTTTCTATTAAAAAAAGTACAAAATGAAATGTTACCCCAAACTTTTTTAATTTCATGCAGTGATACTTAATAGGAGACATTTCAATCTTTTACTCATATACAATTTTCTATCATTAATGCAAACTTGCAGTTAAATGATCTGCACAAAAGATTTGATATTCATTACCATTTGTCATTTTCTCAACATTTAATCTTACTTACATGTACTGGTATAGTTACTGGTATATATATTGTATCTATGTATCTTTCAAACGATTTTTCCATATTTGTAATAATTATTATGCCTACCGGTATGAATTAACAAATCATTAATGTACCATGTGAATGAAGTTTACTAACAAATTCAAACAATATCTTTTATCAACAGGGCCATTATATGATAGCTATAGCAGCTGGTACCGGGATCACTCCCATCATTCAGGTGATGAGGCATATTGTAGAGAATGAGGAGGATGAGACAGTCTTCAGACTACTCTACACCTGTCGTAACTATGATGAGATTCTTCTCAGGGAAACTCTTAATGAGTTGGCTCTTTACTGGAATATCACCATCATCTTTAATCTGACTCAGGTATTAAAGGAACTCACAATCAGTACATCACAGAGTAATTTACTGTAATTTGTAATCATTTTTCTGAATACAGTCACCTAGGCACTGTGTCATGGATGGATAAAAAATGACCTAGTACATGTAGTAAAGTTACTGCCCAGAAAGCAGTAAACGCTGCAAGTTCAAATCCCTTCTGGATCAAAGAGTTTGTTTCTTTATTTTACAATCAAATACAAATTATGCAGCTAGCCCAGGCAATAGCTCTGGAATGTGTATGTACATGTACATATTGTTATTGCTCATGCAGAGAAACAGAGATCTGGGAGGTTAAAATGTTGATGTGGATTGTTTTCTGTCTTTTGAGGAGTATTACTCTTCGAAAAAGCCATACATTCTTTGATGTTCAGTTGAACTGACAGGTTGATTTTGTTAATTTGTGTGCCTTATTATTGACTTCTCTGTGGTTGCTTCTGAATTGCACAGTGTGTGAAATAAGCATGTTTGCCTGCATCTTAAAGTAGTCACCTGAAGGAAATTCACGACTAATGATAATTATGGACAAATTATATATGGATGGGAAGATTTTCTCTCGAAAAACATGAATAATTTGTTGCAAAAACCATATAGATATCATGGAAAGCGTAAAATGTGATTTTTTTTTTTGGCTTGCTGTGTCTCACATGTGACGTCACAAATCTTGATGCTTTATGGAAGACTGCTGAAGGCAGAAAATCTGGATCTCAAAATTAACATTTGTGAGAGATGATGACTGTAGACCCCCAAAATATTTTGTAGAGGGAAGCTGTTATATTTGATCAGTAAGGCTTCCCCTTCGGATGACTACTTTAAGTAATCTTTGTTTCTTGTATTCACTGCTTTAAGTAATCTTTGTTTCTTGTATTCACTACTTTAAGTAATGCTTTTTTCTTGTATTCACTACTTTAAGTAATCTTTGTTTCTTGTATTCACTACTTTAAGTAATCTTTGTTTCTTTTATTCACTACTTTAATTAATCCTTGTTTCTCGTATTCACACTTTCTGTCTCCTGCAGAGCTTAGCAGGCAGCCATTCAACAGAGTACGGCGAGATCATTCAATATGGCCGCTTCACTCAAGAGAGACTATCCAAAGAGGTGGCTGCATCCATGGGACGACCTGTGAGGGCGCTGGTCTGCGGAACGCGTTCTTTTGAAAATGACATGATCACATTCCTGAAAGAATCAGGAGTGCCAGCCAATTCCATAGAGAAGTTTTAACACACAGGGTATTTTAACAATGATTATTTGTGTTTTCCTTATCATCTCATGTGACATCATGATTATAATCATGGGGGAGCAGTGACATTGTGAATGGGCTGGCGGGTGGTGTGTGTTGGACCCAATTCTTTTAAAAATCTTTGCAAAGTTTCTCCAAGAAGAAATATAAATCTGAATTTCAAATTTATGGATATGGTTTGCATACAGAAATATTTAAGTTTATGTATGGGGTGGATGTTCCACTGGTCCTCTGTATATGTATGACCTATTTGATATCTATTTGTATCAATGTTTAAATGTTAACTGAGTTTCAAATCATTCAATCATGTTCTTTCAAGTCCACTGGAATACCAAATTAATTCTCATTTCAGGGAGTAACAAACTAACAATGCTGGCAGTGAGGCACATTTCGTCCTTGTTTTCACGAAGTGACGGTAGTGAGGAAAATCGTAACGCAAAGTGAATGCAATTTTTTGTCACTACCGTCACTTCATGAAAACAGCGACGATTTGTGTGTTATTTTAATTGTACATTAAAACCTTATTTAAAGATCACTATTACACCAATTGTTCATTATAACAAGGTAATGCTGCCAATCCCTTTCTTGCACATTTTTATCAAGGTTTTTTAGTTTTAAAATATTTTTTAGTCTTGTTAAAAGAAATGCCATGTCTTATTGAGTAAATTATATTAGGGTTCGACTCCATATATGCACTTTTTTCCTGTAGCGAACCCAGGTTATTATGATGACTAACAGCAATGAGGTGACAAAATTCTATGGGTAAAGTTTCAACATATTACTCTGTATCTTTCCCCACTTTCCAGGGATCTGTGTTACCTAGATTCGGAGGAACCTATTATTTTAAATACTGATGCTTGGGTGAGATCCCAGGCATCGGGAGTTTCTAAGAAGTTCAGAATTGTAGTATTCATGAAACTGAAATATGAAAACATTAGAACGCTAATGGCAATATACAGATTTTAGGCAGTCGTGAGTATTTTCTGCGATATTGTATATACCACAGAGATACCAACTCCAAAATATTTGTTTTCATACATTAGAATCCTGCCATTATATTAGCAAAGTTGGCATCTTTGCTGTCATGGTTTGACACACGAAAGATTTTGACACGGGTTTCTTGAATTTACTAATGGAATTTAAACAATGAAGTTTAGAATGTAAACTTGATTTCTAATTCTTTCTTTAATATTGTGTGCAATGTATTTGCTTCAAATTTTTAACTTTTTAACTATTTGTATATATTTTCAAACCTTAACATGATTCATAGGATAAAATACATGTAAATATTCTAAGATTTTTCCAATAAATACAACAATAATGATATATAACTTCAAAGTATGAAATTGTGTTTATTATTTGTTGTGGGAGACAAAAAAAAGAAGAACATAATAAAAAGATGATGGTTAGAAAAGTTTGATCTACAAATTTTAAAATTTTCTTTCTTGCCTTTTATTGTTCTTTATTGTTTTCCTTTGTCCACAAAAAGAGTTAACAGATACACATACTCTACATATAATGGTCACACACAATCTTTTCATACTTTTTCAGGTTTTATTACTTCAAATTGAATTTACAAGGTTAATATACAGATACAGTATGTACATTTAGATGATGAAATAGCCTTGAACGTAGGTGTTGTCATAATTTGCACTGGTAGAGTTATCATTGAGGTGGAAGAATGGTAAAGGAAATTCATGTATGCGGGTGGTAGGAAAGAGATAAAGAGAAAGAGAGAAAGAGAAAGGGGGAGGGAAGGGGAGGGGAGATATTTATGGATATGAATTGTAGCAAATAATAGTAAGAGAGAGAGAGAGAATAGAAAAAGGGGGGGGGGGGGGTTGATGGATACAGGGACCTCAAGATTTGAAAATGATGGTGAGCAAGAGGGAGGAACTGAGATAAAACGGGAGAGAGAAGGAGCAGAGAGAAGGCAGATATGATACACTTTAGAGAGATTGAAATTATAATATATAAAGGGAGGGTAAGATCAATCATAAATAAATTAAACCATTTTGTGGCCATGCGCTTGTGAATAACATCAATTATATCGTAGAGTACAAAAACTAGAATTACTAGAACTATTATTTAACTACATGTAGTTTCAAAGCTCACATTACATCAAAGTCTACATCACAAGATTTTGATTTATACTGGAAAGATATAAAGCTAGTTTGAAAGAAGGAAGAGATTATAAAAATGTACGTATTGTAATTGTGTAAAAACTGCACATTGAAAATAGAAGGGTCCAGGTAAGCTAGGGTCTTCATGGACTGCGATTCAAGACAGTAAACCTAAGGGAAGTGAACAACCTTCTATTCCATAATTATATAATGTTGTATCTGTTTCTGTTTTTTAATGTAGAAATTATATAACATCACAATTTGTTGGACACATATGAAAACAAATCAGAAATAAAAACTGCTAGTTCTCTTTTTAAAGAAAGCGCACACGGCCTTACAAACACCCAATGTTAATGCAAAACAATCTCGCGTTATCCAGTATTTACATTGTAATGGCACGGATCGCAGTTTCAAGATCATGGAGTCGGAAATACGTGAAATGTATTTGGATCACTAAAACCAAACTATATCACACCATATTCGTAAGACAATGCAATAAAACAGCAGCAAACAAAAAGTTTTTCAACCATATAAATGCAGCAAAATAAATAATTCAAATGCTGATGTACAATGTATGATGTACATGGTTGAAACGTCAAAAGATAATTATATATTCACTGACTGATTGTTTTTACTGCAATTTTATCTTCTCGGCTTTGGAACGTGAATTTTTTTTGCTGAAAGAAATAGCAAACAAAATTAAATATGCGTATCACAAATTCACAATAAAGCGACCAAACTGACTATCATATATTAATTTTTCAGTGTCTTAAATTACACATATTGTTTTGTTAATCTGTTGTTGAAGTTTCACTTTGTATTCTATTGAAATAAAAATAATATATATTTTATATTTGTAACGTTGGGAGATAAAAAACACGTTTCCTTCAATTTGATAAACTTGAGAGCTGAAAAAGAAATGCATACTCCATAGTCATGTTAATCTACAACAAGAATAACAAACAAACCATTCCATAAAGTATTTATAAAGGGTGCATTTCCTGGCTGTTACACAACGCCTAACAGTTGACGTCCCTCATATTTGGCACTTTTACTGATCAACCGAAGCCAACATACATGTATATAAACACACAACAGTTAACATTCTCTTGCAACAAATGGGACTACAGAAGTCCTTGGGCTGGTTTATTATATTTGGTCAGGATTGGTGGGTGAAGATCCTGCTCGGAAATACAGAATCCATTCAGACTGATTTCAGGGAGTCAGTTACTCCATCACATCAACTGGCTCATGTTCGGCAGTTTGGATGTCTAGTTTTACAACGTGCACCTCCAATACAGCGGGTAGTACAGAGAACTGGAAAAAACATGAAAGATGGAATATATAAATGTTATAGAAAACTAAAAGATAAACTCTTGCAAACTGACCATTTAATATGTAATGTTGCCTGTAATCCCTGTATATGACAGATTGGAAGTTTGACCTCCCCATCTTGTAACCAACACCTGACCCCATGACACTTCAGTGTTGAAGCATTCTTTATTTCCATTAAATTGAAAGTTCTGTTAAATCTGAGTAGACATCTTTGTTCAACAAATCGACCAAGGAGATATAAATGATTTAAGGAGCAAGACAATCTTTTATTTATTGTGAAGCTGTTATTGATATGGAAGACAAAAGCCTACTGATTCTTACCATGTTCGCAACGAGAACCAGTAAATCCATAGGGACATTCACAGCTGTATGGTCCCACACACTTCCCTCCATGGAGGCAGGGTAACACACATACTGGTCTCTCAAGAGATGCAAGAGAACCAAAGGCTATCAAGGGAGAAAGAAAACGAACCAAACGTAATGAATCATCAGAAAAGAAAAAAATAATAACACTGCACAATAATTTCAAACAGTGTTAGGGGGCTAACCACACTGGGTTAAGGAGATAAAAGACTAATATTATAGTGTAATAATGTGAATTTTATGAAAGAGCTTCCACAAATGAGATATATATCTATTCATGAGGAATAAATGATGCCCATTTCGTCTGTATTTTAACACTCTCTAAAAGTTCCACAGCCGTATATTTAATTGGATTCGTGTAGCATACGATTGTCTGGTCTGTACTCTGTAAGGCTTATCTGCTAAAATATCTTTGATTGATTGATTCAATTAGCATCTTATTTTCATTTTATATCACATTAAGTATAAATCTTGTAACAAAATCAATCAATTAATTAGCACAATAAAGGTTTGGGCATAAAATTGATAATTTGCCATAATATTGAAAATGGGTGCCCACAAATACATGTATCGCATTAAAAAACAACTTTAAATATAGATGATAAGTTTCTTACTCACCAATGCATTTAGGTATGGAGTCATTCCATGTATTATCTGACATACATCTGATAGAACTACTCCCAACCCTGTAGAATCCTCGATTACACCTGAAACTGAGAACGTCTCCAGGAGAAAAGCTTTCTCCAAACATTCTTCCATTATCAATCACAGGAGGTGGTAGGCAGCCATCGGCTTCACATCGGGGCAAGGAATGACTCCACGTCCCTTCGGAGGTACAGAGAATCCTGCTGGTTCCAACAAGCTTAAAACCATTGCTACAGGAAATAGTAACGGCGTCTCCAACTGCATTTGAAGTACTCAAATAAACCATGTTTTCACTGGCTGGGAGATCTGGGCAAGTCACAAGATGGCAAAGTGGTAGTGGGTTACTCCATGTTTGGTTTGCATTGCAAGATGATGTTGCCCGACCCAGAAGGGTGTATCCAGCATTACATGTATATGTTACGATGGATCCAAAGAACAATGTTCTGTATTCTGCATGGCCATTCTCAGGTGATTCAGGTGGAAGACACTCTAGAGGGTCGCATGAAAACTCTGTCAATGACCACGTTTGATCTGGAAGGCACTCGGCCATACCTTCTGACGATGGTTGAAAACCATTCTCACATTCTAGCTGCACAAAGTCACCAACCACAAACCTTGTCTTATCGGCCGGGTAGATGACATGTGGTATGCGAGGTAAAGCTTGACAAGGGTTCGGTGAACATTGGGGCTCCTTCTCACTCCAAGTTCCATTTGCTAAGCATGTTCTACTTCTTGGCTGATTCGTTGAGTAACCATCATGGCATATATAATGAACTTGGCTTTGGTACACTTTGCTTTCTAGTATCACCTTTCCATTATGTGGGTTGGTTAAAGGACCACACTTGACAGGTCGGCATTGTGGAGGGTAAGGTAGCCAGCTCCCGTCGCTTGTACATCTGACGACCTGGACACCGTGCATTGTGTAGCCAGAATGACAGTCATAAACTGCAGTACTGTTGAAAGTTATGGCCTTGTAGGAACGTACGCCATTTATTACTATTGGGGGTGTATCGCATGATATTGGGCGACAGGCAGGCAAAGACCCGCTCCAAGTCTGGTCTGCCTGGCATATCCTCCTATCTTCTCCACGCATCTTGTACCCTTCATTGCAGCGATACTGTATTTCATCCAACAGTTGCATATTACCAAGATTGATAATGATACCATGTTCTACATCATCAGGCTGCTGGCAGGTGATAGGTTGGCATTCAGGTGTAGACCCGGACCATTCTCCACTTACACTACAGGTACGTGTCCTAGATCCAATGAGCACATAACCATGATTGCAAGAGTACCTTGCAATGCCATCAAGTGTTATATTGGTATTTGTTACTTCTCCATGCAATGGCAAAGACAACGGTCCACAAGATATGGGTTTGCACACCTGACTGACCAAACTCCATGAGCCGTTAGCAAGACACGTTCTTACACTTTCGCCTGCAATGATATAACCGGTCCAGCAACGGTATGTTGCTTGTGAACTGAATGTCGTCACATCGAAGGAAACAATTCCTTTGTCCAAAAACGGCGGTTGTCCACACGAAACAAGTTCACAACTTGGCATAGTGTTGCTCCATGATCCATGTTCATCACACGTTAGCATGCTCTCACCTTTCACAGCATACCCTACATCGCATGTATATGTTACACTTGATCTATATATCGGAATCTTGGTATTCATCTGTAGAGTTCCATGTCGAATCGGTGGTGGGCTGGGGCACTCTATCACTCTACAATCCTGATGGGCAAAGGACCACGATCCATTCGATAAACACTGTCTTGAAGATGGTCCATCAAGAGTAAATCCCAAAGAACATGAATAAGTGGCATTGCTTTCATACCTGTCGCTAGGTAATGTTACGTTGCCGAGTAAGAGGTTTGGAGGAGGACCACATGTTACTCGGATGCATGTAGGTTGTTGACCGCTAAGTATCCCGTCATTTCCACAGATCCTGAAACTTTGACCAGCTATCATGTAACCAGGATTGCATGAATAGAGGACCTTCAAAGGATGAAATACAAACTAAACATTTATATTTGGTATCAAACGTAACAAAATCATGTAAGGCATGGTTTGGTTTCTGGTTAAAAACAGATGAAGTCATTTTTGGAATCGAGATGTAAATTATTCTCTCCCACATAAATTTTAAGTATTTTAACACAATGGCCTTAAAGTCAGACGAAATGAAAGTTAATATTAAATGCTTGGGGTCTGGGGAAAGCAAAAAAAACGTTAGCTTGCAATATTCTGTCATCTACTGCATTTTCTTCGATATGACCATTGTTGCTGGACTAAGATATCTCACCTTGTCACCGTTGAAGACAGTGTGATTCCGTATAACAATTCCAAGGGGGAAGGCTTCCTCTACCCTGCATTCGATTGGTCTACACTTTGGCTCATAGCCACTCCAGGTTCCGTTTGCTTGACAGCGGCGCCTTGCTAATCCTACCAAGTGATATCCAGGTTCACATCCAAAGCTCACATCATCCAGGTATCGATTGTTGAGGAATATTGCAATACCATGGGCGGGGTTGATAGGCATTGGACATTCAATGAGGGTGCAAACGGGAGGTGGGTGTGACCAGACACCCTGACCGGCACACTCTGTGACGCTCGTTCCTACTAATTCGAATCCATCGTCACAAGTATACACCACCTGGCTACCAAAGGACACCCCTGTTGACTGTATGGATCCATTTTGAGGTATTGCCAAGTCTTCACAAATGATGGGTAAACACTGGGGCATGTCTCCATTCCATTCTCCATCTTCCTCACACAGCAATGTGTCATTTCCATCGATGGAGAACCCCTCGTTACAATCAAATACCATCACCTCTCCATATGAGTTGGAATCTACTGTGATGAAACCATTGTCTGATGGAAGGACAGGTGGACAAGTTATTGGAACGCAAGTGATGTTCGCAGGATCCCATATTCCATTTTCAGAACACCGCATTTCCTGTAAGGTTTGGTATTTGAAACCTTCATCACAGTGAGCTCTGACAATGTCTCCATACACGAAAAGGCCTTCACCTGGACCAGAGAATAGGAAAGATTTAATTGAATAATTACATAACATTATCTGCTACATGCATATGCGTTTACATCAAACACCTAGCCGGGTTAGTAAAAGAAGGCTACAGCCGAATCGCATCAAGAGATCAACTAAATCATTGTGATAACTATTATCTTCGATGTCTAAGACACCGTGCTTATAAATATACTATTCTTGAAATTGCGTGTGGTTGTGCACCAATTTTTCAAAGATGTCCAATATCAATCAATTAGAAACATAAAGTCAACAAGAATCAATGGGGGAAAACAAAATCAAAAGAATGTTACCTTCAATTAACCCATTGTAAACGAGAGGAATCTCTAAGCAGGGGACAGGCTGGCAGCTTGTGTTGGTTACATTTCCACTCCATACACCTGTTTCATCACATTCAATCATCAGCTCAGAGATGGCCTTGTAACCCACATCACACTGGTATGCTACGGTGGATCCATAAGTGCTAGTATTCAGTTCAAATTCTGCGTTGTTTACGTCTGAAGGTGACCCACAATCCAGCGGCTTGCATCTAGTGTCTGAGTGACTCCATGTACCGTTGGAGGTACAGGTTGCTGATTTAGAGCCTGTGATGAACATAAATTATGCAGTTATTACGGATTAAATATATTTTGGTTATAAAATCATTATCATACCCTACATCAAAACCATCAAATAATTGGCGTTTGCCTATTTTTTTTTATACAAAAGAAAGGAAAACGTTGATTGACAAATTGTATCATTTAAGGATAATGCACAAGACTATCATTGCATTTTATTTACATATCCACCGTGAGCTCTCTAGCGCAAAATGTTGTCTCTGACATATCACAATATTTGACATCATAACCAGGCCTAAAATCATTTCGGACAGACCGTTGTAATATTATCTAGCTGTTAATAAAAAGTATTTGTACATCCTTGAGTATGTCGTTCTAAAATAAAGCAACAAAAGAGATAATTTGACATACCAGTCAAGACATAACCAGGGTTGCACACGAACTGTACACTGTTAAGGTAGCTAAAATTGGTTCCTAGTATGAAACCCTGAGGTGGAGTAACTGGCATCCCACAGCTGATAGCCTCACACCGTATCTCTTCTTCACTCCACCTTCCATCAGCCTGACAGGTGGTCTCCATGGATACAACATCACCTCCAAAGATGAATCCATCATCACAGAAATAGATAAGCGTATTGTTAAATGTAAAATTGTCTCCGAGGAAATATGCATTCTCTACCAAAGGAGGGCTGCCACATTCCAATAATTTGCAAGATGGGGGTTCCTGAGTCCATTCACCTTGAGCAGAGCAGTTTCGAGACGATTCCCCCTCAAGAATGTATCCCTCATGGCACTTGTATGTTACAGAGCTTCCATAAATGAGGTTGTCAAAATGAGCATTGCCATGGCGAATTACAGGAGGTTCTGGACAGAATATTAGAATGCATTCAGCTGAGGTGTTTGACCATTGGCCTGAGCTTTGGCATTGCCTGGTTGCCTCACCATGTAGACGATATCCTAAGTCACATTCCATTACAATTTCACTCTGGAAGGACCAGTTCGTTCCAACGATGAAGCCATGATCAGGTGCTAACGGTACCTCACAAGTGATAGGTTCACATACTGGAAGATCACCCCACCACTGTCCCTCTGCAGAACACCTAAGATGTGGGGCATTCCTGGTAACATACCCAGCTTGACATGCATACGTCACTGACTCATTGTAAAGTCTTCCATGTGAGGCAACTGCATGAGGAACAGCAGGTGGCTCTCCACACTCTACAATATCACAACGTACAGAACTTTCCGTCCATTGCCCAGATGCGAGACACGTGATGACAGAGACACCAGACAAGATGAAGCCAGTTTTGCAGGTATATACCAGAGTTTGGTTGTATGTGTAGTCCTGACCCTTGATGTTACTGTTAGGTATGTCATTCGGAGGACCACAAGATACAGGGATACAGTCGGACAGGGTACCTACCCAATGTCCGCCTGCACCGCATGTCAATTCAGTACTGTCAGAATCAAACAGGTATCCTGAGGGACAGGTGTATTCCACAGTTATTCCATATGTGAATTCTGGTGATTGGTCTGCGACTAATTGGTGGTTGTTCATCTTTGGAGGTTCTCCACAGGAAACTGCCTGACAAACAGGGGGGCTGCTTGACCATTGTCCGTTGCTCATACATGAAATCTCTCTATTACCAGCGACTGTGTAACCTCTGTCGCAGTCATATATGACAGTAGCGTTGAATCCAAAGTCCCCTCCTATCATTGAGCCATTTGCCACAGCAGGAGGCATGGAACATTGGATGCGTCTACACTCAGGAAGAGAAGGCTCCCACACTCCATTCCCTCCACAATGGATGACAGTCCGGTCCGCCTCATATCCTTCATTACAGGTGTACCAAACACTGCTGCCATACGTCAATCCGTCATATGTGGAGGTGGCAAGGGGCACATTAGGTGGATGTCCGCAAGACAGAATTTTACAAAGTGGCTCTGCATTGTCCCACCTTCCAGTCTCTTGACACTGAAGCACATTCATCCCCGTCATCCTGTATCCAGTGATGCAACGGAATTCTGCGATGCTGCTGAACACAGTCCCGTTAGTGGTAATGAGCATAGAGTTTGGAGATGATGTCAGAGGTGGACAGCTGACGATCCTGCAGGTCGGTGGTGCTGTCCATTCTCCATCTATCTGACATGTAACGTTAGGCAAACCGATCAAATGGTAACCCCGTGCACACTGGTATGTTGCGCTCTGTCTTGGGAATGCCATGTGGACTGGTCTCTCACCCTCAGAAGAAAAGACTACAGCATTTGGAACATGCGGTGGCTCTCCGCAAAACACATCTGTCAGGAAGAGGTAAGTAGTAGATATATGAAGATATTACAACTAAATCCATTTATTCCAACTGACATTGAAAGTATATACCAATAGGCTAATATTTGAGAGTGTGCTGTTCTTGAATGTAGTAAACCTATTGGAACGTGAAAATAGCTAAATGTTGAAAAGGCAATCACAAAGTTTAACTGGACCGGGGAATATTGCAACTATCCCTCCCCATTGTCTATTTGATTCGGCAAGATAAAATGAACATGGAAAAACACAACTTGAGTATTTTCTTCAAAGGAAACTATATTTATACAATTTGTGAACTTACATTTGCATTCTGGCGTGAAACCTGACCAATAGCCAGTCTCCATACATTCTCTCGCCAAAGGACCAACAAGAGTGAAATTTTCGACGCAGGTGTAGAAAACTTGGTCACCATACAGATACATCCTACCAATCACATACCCGTGTTTAAGATGTCCAGGGTATCCACAGTTTATTCCTGCATTAATGACATTAAAAAAGATGTAAAAAGACGAACCAAATTCGAGGCATTGGTTTCAGGGCAAATCATCTTATTTCATATATTTAACATAATCATTTCGCTTTGCTGTAGATCAGCAAATGCTGGGGGAAACGATGGTTACAAGGTCAGTAGGACAAGACGTATCATTATGATTTTGGCCATCCTAGGTATAATAATAATATTGGATTCTTATATAGCGCTCGTATCGACCTTACAAGGTCCTCAAGGCGCTCCAACATTACCCGGCTATGCTAGGCTGCCGATTTCGACGCTCACAGTATTTTTAGGAATTCCTTCCTACTGGTACCCATTTAACACCTGGGTGGAGAGTGGCAAATGTACATCAATGTCTTGCCAAAGGACATTAGTGGTGCGGCGGGACTCGAACCGCGGACCTTGTGATCGACAGTCCGGCGACGTATCCACTCATCCACGACATCCACGACACGACGATATGATTGTTAATAATTTTTAAAGACTTTTTGCTGGAAAGTCTATTACGATTTCATTTACTAACATGCCCTATGGCATAAAGACATATCAACAAGAACTCTACAAATCAGATACAAGGGTTAACTTATATCTTTGAAATATAATGCTTAATCATTGTTAATGGTTAGGACTAACATGTAATACTAACTGTCGCAATATGCTCGATCACCCGGACTCCACTCTCCTGATACCTGACATTCAGCACGAGTGACTTCATGTCTGGGGAGTTCAAAGCCTAGCTGACAGTGGTAGGTCACGGAGGTCAAAGGTCGTGATGGTTGGTAGCCCTTCACAAAGCCAGCCTCAGGTGCAGTGGGATAGGGACATCCTTAAAACGAGAAGCATAAAAATATGGGTCAAGGTACGGCAATGCATATATATAACCCAGAGATAGACATTTCAATAATTGTTAAGGCAAAACACAAATACAAGAGTAGTATGCATGAGTAGTCACCCCTAATATTTGATAACAAATGAGAATGTGTACTTATTCTTAAAAATATGTCTGAATTGATGGCATACTTTCGAATACAGACACTGCTGATCTTGAAATAATACTCCCAATTAGGAAAAATGTTATACAAGTATTAAAGGTCGTTTTCTCTATATAAATTTGAAAAAAACTAATATATGTAGTTTCGTTGATAATGCCCTTAGAGTGGTCATCTGAAATAAGTGACGATTTCTTCTTTTTCATGAAATGCTAAAGAAGAAGGGAAAAAAGAACCTTCATGATTAGATCATTTCTATAAAAATAAAGCATTCTCACATACCTTGACAGAAAGTATTATTCCGCTTTTCAATTTGGCCTTCCATTCCCGATAGAAAGTCTGGCCATGCCATGATGACATCTGATGGTTTTTGACAGGTCCTTCCTAGATCATAGATCTCTGCCGCTCCTAGAGCCCTTTCCCAAACAGTAAGATAGGTGATCTCTCCAATGAAAGACTCAAGGTGTGTGAAGCCTCCTCCTAGGGTGTCTTGGTCTTGACCCAGGATCAACGTTCCACCACCTGTAACACAGTCAATGGTTACATAATTACACCCTTTGCGACACTCTATAACTAAAGTACCCCCTCTCTTTATGTATTGCCTATTAATTTTGTTAATTAAATTAGGCTTGCAATTATATACAAATAATACATTTTCTTTGTATATAATAAAAATTTATGCACTACTGTAATTCTTCGAGTTTCACTGTCAAAGCGCTCCAAGTGAGAACTACCATTTCTGAATAATAAGACAATCCTACCAAAAAATATGAAGTTTAATAGATTATTTTTCCCGGCGATGATGTATCATGGGCAAAACGGTAACCAATATTACATCAATAATAATTTCATACTTAAACACGTGATGTGTGTTACTCATGTGGATATGTTTTATTATAAATCTCGTACCTCAACCTATCTAAATGGTAAAAGATAAGACAGGCACTAAAAGAACTAGCCTTTCCACACATCAATTCTCTTAATAAATGTTCGCTTATGATTTGACTAATTTCTTTATCCCACTGTAGCAGTTGCTGTATAATGAAAATTAGATAGGATTTAATCATTGATGTACACGAATATAAGCATGAATGGAGCGTTTCATTACCTGGTATAGACATGCCATTTGAAAGCCCTGTACCATTAGCCTGTTGAACACCATCTTTGTACATTGTATAGGTTCCTCCATTGGAATCCCAAGTGGCCACTATGTGGTGCCATCTCCCATCATTTGCTGTGATGTCACTCACTATGGTTTCTTCGTTTACCTTTAGGACGAATCTACACATTGAAAGACAAAAGAAATTCAAAGGAAAGATGCAGAATTTGACTTAGTGCTCCGATACTGCTAGAAGACCACTCCTGTGCCCCGTTTCACAAAACTTGTCATCAGTGAAAAATGACAGCTTTTGTTATAAGCTACTGAAATCCTTGCTTTTGATTGGTTATCAGCAGAGTTGTCACTGATTTTTGTCATTTGTCATTGAAGAAAGGCTTTGTGAAACGGGTCCCCGTTCTGCACTTATTAAGAGGCATCAGTTGATATTCATTATACTAGAGTTCTATGTGACATTAAAAAAGATCATGAAAAATTGATAGTTTCAGCAAGTAAGATTTAGGTTTGGAGATCATGGCATCAGTAAACACTGATATTTAGCATCCTCTCTAAAAACAATATTAAAAACACCTTGAAAGATGTAACCTTGATCCCCTTCTTCTGAATACTTTGATAACAAAATAATTTCCTTGGTCTATGACAATGATACATGATTTCCTGTCTTCAATAGGGTTTTTCAAGCATGTAAATTATGTACTTCTGCAACAAACATCCATTGTAAAACTCAAAACATAAACATTGCTGTCTACTACCTTACCCGCTATAGTCTGTGACAGTCAAAGCATTATCACTTGAATCACTGACAGCGTAGGAGAAAACAGTGCCAGAGTTGCCTGTGTTATCAGTTAACATCCAAAACGAGATGGTCACAGCTGTGAGCGTTGGAAAATCACGTTCCAGTACGACAAAATCATCTATACCGCCTCTATCAAACACCATGTTGAAATCCCAAGTCATCTCTGGAAAACATAGAAAATGTTTTTGATTTGATTTTGATTAACTCATGGGTTGGGTGGCCATTTACAACTAATAGCTGTTTTTCAAAGGGGTCCAAGCCAAACAATAAAAAGAAACACGTGAACAAAAGAATTAAGGTGATATAACATTGGTATCTTTCATTAGGAAACTGTGGAAAGGGATGCTCCCTGGGATCCTCAATCTTGAACTAAAACTGTATGGTGATATCAATGGTAATGAAATTGGTAAAAGTACCACTAATAGATCTGACTTACTATGACTCACGTACAGGGAAAATGTGAAAATGTCAGTTTGGGGTCTTTGGCGATTGTGTATATATCTTTATATGGGATGCAATAATAGAAAGTAATTTTTAAGCTAGGAAAGGTTTGTGTGTTTTAGTTAATGTAAATACATTGTTTCCAATTCTGATTGGCATGCGCATGTAGAACAAACACTGTGGTATATGCCATAATGAATCTTTTGCTTGACAAGACACTTTACTTATAATGAATTATTTATATAATGGTATCCCGAATGACGCCAAAAATAAAAGCATACTTTAATGCAAAATGGATGTTGTCTTGCAGAAAAATGCGTTTGTGAATACAACCCTAATTGTTATAGGTCTCATGGAATCTAAAGAAACGCTTACAGAGGTGCTGTACAGAGGGAAGAATGCATACCTTCTTCACATACTACACCTGTATAACCAGGCATGCATACACATTGGATACCAGCGATGAGATCTTTACAGGTCGCTCCATTAAGGCAGGGAGTCGTTGCACATTCATCTATGTTGATTTCACAGAGGGTCCCAGAGAATCCAACAAGACACTCACATCTGCACAGGAAAATGAATATGATTAAAGGGTATGATACCCGGTAAAATAAATCAATTAACATGCATGTAATCCATAAACCACAATTGACATATGATTAGAGTTGTGATACATAGAGTGATCAATAACTTCAGTATAAAGTTGAATGATGTAATAATGACGAATTAGGACTTTTGTTAGCATCTCCTAAAAAAACTGAAACAGGCTTAACACTTGTAGATGTCAATCAATTTACTGTACCACTACTGTTGCTTTTTCTTAACTTACATGTCAAGAGAGAGAGAGAGAGAGAGAGAAGGGGAATGATGATGAAAAAAGAGAGGATTTTGTGAATGAATAAATTGTCATGTACCTAGGGATTGTCTATCTCAACTCAAGAACTGCAGTGCATACAGAAACAGAACTACCCACCGAAATTCATTGACCATGTCTTTACATGTGGCATTGTTATCACACGGGTAGGAGAGACACTCATCAACCTCCATCTCACAAAGGTCTCCAAGGTAACCAGATGGACAGGTGCATTGGAAACCCCCGATGAAGTCTGTACAAGTACCAAAGTTGTAGCAAGGATCTAGGGCACAGTCATCAACATCTTCCTCACAGTTTCTCCCTGAAATAGAGCAATGAAAATCTATAAGCTATGCCGGAAACTAAGGCTGTCAGAATTATGTTACAATAGTGACTACAGGATGAATAATTGGCCTAATTCTCGAGATACAAATTAAGATTCGAATTTGCAGTAAGATCTAAACAAAGACAAATATACAGACCATTACAAAAACACACATTAAGCTACTTGAAAATATACTTGGAATCTGAAATGCATATTAATCGCATCCAATAATCTTTAAATACGTCAAAAATGAATTATAGGAAGTAAAAGGAGAGAAAGCAACATAGCGAAATATCCTCAGAGGATATGGCATTACTAGATGAATCACAATTATCGTGTAATAATAGTTTAACTTGGCTAAGGAGGACACACACAGACAGTGTCTACATATAAACCATTCTGATGTAAGTAAATGAATCCAACCTGTATATCCATCAGGACAGACGCATTCGTAATACTGTGGTCCATCAATACAAGTCGCTCCATTATGACACGGATTAGTCCTGCATTCGTCTACATCCTCTGAACAGTATCTACCTGTATGGAGTGAATCAAGAAGATAGTATCTTCAATTATTAGCGATTATAACACTCTTTCTTTAATCATACTAGTTTCTTTAATCATACTAGGGATTGAAAGGAATATTATAGTAGTAATAATATTTAAAGTGTAACATTTTTCATGGTGTTTAGCAATTTTAAAACGTATTATCACCAATATGTTGAACATACAAAATGAACGACTTTGCTAATATCATGTGAATGTAACTAAACAGTAGATTTCAGAAAGACCATACAAAAATGCTTAGGGCTTTTGTGTTACATAAAACTTCCTAGAATTAAAATAACAATTGAATTCTAGGCCAATCCGACTAAAAATACCAAACATAAGTCTTCTTTCATCGTCATAAAATATTTGTGTAAATCTTGAGAACCTAAAGACATTCTTCAACTCTTTTTCATCAACCACATGTGTCACCAATAATTATGTCAGATTGAGTTTTCAAAAATTGATGAACAGAACTAACAGAATGGAATGAAGAACTCACCAGTAAATCCTCTTGGACAATGGCACATATAACCATCTATGAGGTCACGGCAGGAACCATTGTTCATACACATTGCTGTTTCACATTCATTGATATCCGTCTCACATCGTGGTCCTGTTGAGAATTAATAACAAAAATACTCTTATGTTTATTTTATATGATATGGTTCATCATGTAAGGAAAGATATGCATAGGTTTGTTTTATCCGACTGCTAAGAAAGCATGTTTATGCTTTCAAAGCAAGCAACTTACTGATGGCTTTAAGTCCTCTGTAACGGACTTTAAAAGCTCTTCTTCTGTTACTTTCATGATATTGGGCAGTATATCAAATAAGTTAATGTAGGCTTACAATTTACATGCAGGGGAGAATCTAGTTTTTGTGAAAAAAGGCAGCATCCAAATCATCTTTACGATGAATCAAAGTTCATCTTCAACTGTGCTTTGTGAATCTACGTCAGGCGACCCCATTACGAACCTCGTGCCCCTTTCCTCCATTTATACAAATATAAATTGTATTCATTATTTTGTATTTATTTGATGATAAGAAGGAATTATCTTTTGAATAAAAACAACACCAGGCAGCCATGCGAAATCGTGTGGCTAATCACTTGGCTTGAGAAAGTCCACAAGAGTTGACAAAAGCTTGCCCACAAAATTCAAGGTTGGTAGCAGCTTCAAAAATAACATTATACGACTATCCCCAACCAATAAACATTGTCTGTATCAACATTTCTTTGTTTCTCTAACCCGCTCCCTTTCTGATGAGACCTTGCTTAATTTCCTGAAATCCATTTAATCCACGTATATGCATGTATGCATACCAGTGTAACCAGCAGGGCAGGTGCATATGTAACCCCCGGGTGAAGACTCACAAGATCCTCCATTACGACAGGGTGATGAGAAGCATTCACTGAATGGTAGAGATCTCAAAGACATCATGCGTCCAGCTGGACTTCGCTCATTGGCGGAATCTTAGTAGGATAGGAGAGGATTATCTTACGTTCATTAATCCATACACAAACATACATGAAATATCCAATGATCCCTAGTCTGATTTTGGCAGAAGATTGGGCCTCGCCCACAGATCAATGTTAGAATGTTGTCATCTATATAATATATAGCAGGATGAATCATTAGAATGATAAAGATTGACTTAAATCCTTACTATTGATTTCATTGCACTACAAGCTTACCATCCAAAGAATCTGACAGATTGACACAAAGGAATGCTCACAATAAATTGCTCAGTCCGCATTAATCAAAAGGAGTGTTAATGAATATGAATTCACCAAAAAAAAAAAAGAATACATACGGCGTTCACTAAATATACATTTTTTTTAAAACACCGCTGCTATTTATCAAAAGATCGCTTCTGGTCAATTAACAATTGTACCTATCGCAGTAAGAAATTTTGAGATAGAGGAGAGACAATAATTGATTGGCTGGATGCAATCTTTTGTTTAAAAAAAAAGCAAATAAAGGTTTTACGTTTTTCTACATTTCCCAGTATCTTTAGGCTACTTTAATGATAGAAATGATAGATAGATAGATAGAAATGGTTTTTATTAAAAAGATCATCGCAGCCAATGGCTGAATTGCGATCCATTTCACAAGGTTATATACAATACAATTGCAATTCAAATTGAAATAACACAAAATATGACATAAATCAATAATCAAACATATAGACATTTCATAAAAATTCATTGATCAGATTCAAATTTTTGTTAAAAAAAGAAAGCGATAGGGAGAGGTGTAGGAGGTGTAGGAGAGGGAGAGTTGGAGTGATGACAAAGAGAGAGAAGGAGAGAAAGACAGAGAAAGACAGAGAAGGGGGACGGGGGAGAAAGACGGAAAGAGATAGGGAGGGAGAGAAGGAGAGAGAGAGAGAGTTGAAGAAAGGGAGAGACAGACAAAGGGTACCTTATCATTACAGATGAGGGGAGATGGCAAGAAATATTCAGTAATGCAGAAAATTGAGATAAAAACTATCAAAATTCATTCACATAGTTCAATCATGGACTGTGAAATTTTAAAAATATTGGTATTACATTTTATTCAAAAGATTTGTAAAGTAAGGAAGAGAGCTGCACTGGAAGCGTTTTGTTTTACATTGGTATTGTTTAAACTTTGATTGAGATCTTAGAGAATAAGTGCTTTGTTGTCTAAGAGGTAAACATTCTTTAAATTGTGGGTGTTTGACAAGAGCATTTGCAAAGTCTATACATAACTGCTTACGTCTTGCTTCTAATGAACATAGATTGCACGTTTCCAATGCTGCTTCATAATTTTCATACTGACGTCCTAAAATGATTTTGCAAGCTCTTTTCTGAATACGTTCCAAAATATATACATGAGTTTTTGTTAAATTACCATTAAAAACCGGTACCCCATAATCTAAAATCGAGCGAATGTATCCTTTATATATAAGTAAAAGGTCATCTTTTATCAAGTTTAACTTACTCCTGCAGTATGTGATTGTGATAGAGCCAGGATTAGAGAGAGGATAATCTTCAGGACATAGTAGACAGTAGCTGGATCGTTGGCTTATCTTGAATGTACCCGCCGGACAGGGCAGGCAGGGCGTCAAGCCGTTGACTGAGGTTTTACCGCGAGGGCAGTAAGCTGAGAGGGAAGCATCGTATTCATCAATTGTTTTTAACAGACAGAAATGACTAGTCAATGAACGTGTTGTCAATGAAACTAAATATTTGACATGCAATAATTACTGTTATTTAGTCGAAGTATAGATTTTGTTTTCTTGCATTATTTTCACGATAAATAATCTTAGACATCAAAAGGAAAATAACCTGCAGGCTAGGGAAGTATGTTTAAGAATTGCATACAAAATAAAAAATCCTATGTCATTGGAGAGTATTGGCATGTCTCGCACTACATATCTATGATCTTTACTAATTGACCAAAAGCACACTAATTGAGATTGAAAAACAAATGACGACAGTATTGTAAATAAAAACCATCATAAAATATTCACAAAGTCATCCTTAGAAAAAGCTTTCATAAACACATTGATCTATTCTTGATGATACCTTTGCAATCTGAGAGTTTCCTTGCACCATGCGAGGGAGTGTGTCGTCTTCTCGGACATTCAACACACTGAGTACTACCCCTATTCGGTTGGTATGTGTTCAATTGACATAGCTCACACAGCTCTAAACCAGACGATGATTTACTGCCAGGCTCACAATAAGCTGTTGAATAAATTAATTTAACAAGTAGTATCAACGCTTGAAACTTGAATCTTGAACGTTCATGGCGATAACTTTCAATGGAAGTATGTATGTGACGGTCAAACTGAACCATTGGGAAAAGACACCGTTATGCCCATTGCATATAAAGACTTGACTTCCTTGACTACGTCCATCACGTCTGTCAATACAATTAGCATAATATGCGCCCGTAATTTAAAGCAATATCTGCACTGTTCGTCTTGAACGAATTCACTTTCACATGTAATGACACATAATCACACCTAAAAATATCAAAGCTTCTGGATGTCGAAGTCAGACCCTTTGCTCAACCACTCATAAGAGCATATATTTTTGTCTAGACTGTGCAAATATCTTAAACATACCAGAAGATGAAATGGCTTGATTTCGTTACATCATGTGGCTGTGTCTTCAAAATAGAAATAAGTCGAACATAACAATTTTCGAATGTACTGCAAATACAAATGCTTGAAATAATGATTTATAATCTTATTCAGACAAGGGACGGAAATCATTTGATTCCATACCGATTCCCCAGTCAGAATATTGGGTGACTTATTTCATTATTTCTTTATCATTGGATATGAAAAAAATACCAAATGTGGCATTAATAATGTGGCATTTCAATATCATTCATGAAATCTCTTAAACATATACAACTCACTCAACGTTAAATATCCTCCATTCTAATACCTCACCCACCTTTGCAGTCTGCCAGTGATGTGGACTTTGTGTTGAATGTAGACGTTCCATTTGGACAATGCAAGCATGACAACTGTCCAATCTGATTCTGGTAAGTACCGATATCACAATACTCACAGGCTGATGTAACGATATCGAAGTATGTTCCAGGGATGCATTGCACTGACAAAGAGAAGAGGAAATACGTTTTCTTTGTTTAGTAATATTTATCTTGTGTGTAACATTTTCCTTATGTACTGATATTCGTGTAAATTATTATTCAGGTATGGTTTGTTATAAAATTTTCCTGTCGCTCTGAACATAATGATATTGTAATTAATCACGCCAGGATGATTGAAATATACTTCGTAGGAAACCTGCTTCTTTCTTCCTTCTGTTCACATCTGATTAGCTTTTGCCAACGGACCCGAAAAGTGTTCAAAGGGCCCACTTTTGAGAAGAAAACAAAATCAATATGTTTTTGGTGCCTTTCATTTTGAATTTGGGCCAACGCCAGGAAGCCCAGGATGCATACAAAAAGCCTACAAAGGAAACATTTTAAACAATATACGTATCGAAAAAGATGGTATTTACTAGTTGATCTTTAATATCCTAGGCATCATATCATTTTGTGTTTGTTTCAATACATACCGCATTTAGCGCCTTCACCTTCACCGCGTCTAACCGCACCGGCTGAACAAACCGGTTGAATATCCTCCCGATAGACGGTTATCCGATTGACCTGAAATGTTCTCTCGCTACTCCTGTTAGAATTGGTCACAATGGTCCCATTATCAAAATTAGACTGTATTTGCGTTGGAACCGAAGCGGCAACTTCTACAACCATTTGATAAGTTTGATCTGTCGGACTGGTTAATGCTGCTGTCTCGTTGGGACTCGCAGATGCTGTAACCAGGCGATAAGAATATGAAAAGAGGAGCTTTATACTTTTAAGAACTGCCGAGTGTAGAGATGAAAGAATTTTTGAAAAGGGCTTGATAATCTGCGGCAACATATAGATGATTTGAAAAAGTTACTGTAGATATTATATCACTCTTACTAATAACTTTCTAATTACAACAACCACAGTAGCAGTAATGGACTTTATTGGATAACTTGTTTAGCACAAGGGTAATCTGCGACAAGGTCCATATTATAAACTACAAACAATACATTGTCAGACACAAACTGTTACAAATGAAAGCGTGAACAAAAATGCAGAAGAGGAACCTTACATAATGGCGAGAACAAATAAAAAAAACCTTCTTTATCTAGTGTTTGGAAATTCAAAAGTACTTAGTTTCATCTTTAAATGATTCAAAGGTTGGAGCATCTATATCGTTACAATTCTGTCTTAAAGCTAAATGCCAACAAATACTCTAAAATTCTCAAATAAATATCTCGTTTTATTTTAGGAAAAAATTAACTTTTGAATGCATAGACGTTTGTAAACAATATTATTACGGGTTTTTCTTCTATGTTTTATACAAAAATATAGAAAACAATAATACAGTATACAGATTCGAATGTTTCCATTATTTTTTGCAACATTTTAGAAAGTTTTATTCCTATTTCATATACAGGATAAGAGAAACAAAGAGACATCTGGAAAAAGACAAAACCGAATCACGACTCACCATTAACAACGATGTTGACGAAGAGATTAGGAGACTGTAAGATATTGAGTCTATGAGCAGTGACGCTGACCTCACCAGCGCCTTGAAGAGCCAGACGTGAATCTGCACCTGGGCTTGTTTGCTGGAGACTAGATGGTGCACCACGTAAGAACGGTATAGGATCTAAATAATAAACATGAAAGTATGTGACAATGTCTATGTAGGCTTCTTACAACGGAAACATGGTGTTTATTATACAGGAAACCGTGTTGTTGCAAACACAATCATTTTGATTTTAAGTGAAGCATATCCCCGAACCAAATATGATCGGGAATGTAAAAAAGAAGATAAAATATAACTTAAACGTGTACTACGTTATTTCAAATTCTCTCATGTCAAATGAAAACCGACTTAAACATTATTGTATATATTCCAGTGTGTGGTATTTGCATTTTTGTTTTAATAAATAAGGGTGTAAATAAGTATCCGATATTCCAAAGCCCTGCATATTTATGACCGACCAACTATGGCAGGTATTACAGATGATAATTTAGAGCGCCAGGAACGTCATGACGTGACGGACATGTGCGCAATAAAATAAAACACCATTATTATTAGTAGTAGTTGTAGAATTTGTGAAGATATTGTGACGATATATATAACCTACCTCTGTCTTCGCAGTTAGCCTTTACACTTGAAAGCTCACATTGTACATTCTCTCCGCAGTAATTACGAATCTGCAGAGGGAAAAAAGGACAGAAAATATCTACATTTTGCGTTATAGGCAAATGATACATTTATTATAACATTAGGATTCTTTGTTTTATTTTCAGATCTTTTGGATAACAACATATAGCCTTCGTTAACTACACTTGGCTGCACCATTAAGCATATATTATCTTTCAGCTACAGTGCTTGATATATCGCTTCAAGAAACGTCTGACCCTTTTTAGCCATACTGAAGTACTAACTTCAATATAATTAATACTATACTGTTTTACTGTTTTACTGTTTCGGTGGCAGCACCAATAAAGCCTTTGGCTTTCCTAGCTGTCTCCATATTCATATGACATGTTGGTTGTTGTTGTATTTTATTGTAAATGTTCCTCTTTAATGTGTCCGCTTTGTTTTGTATTTCATAATGTTGTTATGATGTTTTTTAATGAAGAATGAAATAACGATCAATTACAATAGCAAGAACGGAATTGATGATATATTTTTACCGGTTCCTCGAGGTTGGTCGCCAATATTCTCTCTATGTTAAGCTCGGTTTTATCATTATAAAACATAAATTGTCTTTCAGTTACAGACAGTGCTCGATAAATCACTTCAAGAAACGTCTGACTTTTTAGCCATACTGAAGTTCTAACAAGAACAGAATTCGGAAATAATATCGCTAGTGATATTCGTTTGTATTTGTATATTCACAATGTGTGGTCAACTAGCGATATTATTTTCGAGAATACACCCGCTATGAGTAATATATTTAGCATTAAGAACATAGTGTATGATATGTTTTACCGGTTCCTCGAGGTTGGTCGCCAATATTCTCTCGATGTTCCGAGCAAACACAGTGTCGCAATCAGACGTCTCGTAGAGAAAGGTCATGGGTTGAAGAACATTCTTAGCATGATGGGTCTCTGGAAATTATGATTAGAATTAAGGGAAAAGATATTGAAGAGGAAAAGATAAAGTGATCGTGTTAATTCGTTAATTCAATACATCTATATATACTACTCATTCCGGACCTTATCGGTCGTGTCCGTAAATGACAATTGATTTTATGTTAAAAATTGTCTCATGAATCTGAGAGATTCATCTTCCAAGTGAAGAATATATGTCTATCACCGAATTAGGCCTATATATACATTTCATGTCTTGGAAACCTTATTCTAAACATGAACGGAGAACGGTCATGACTGATGATTCTCTACTATTTCCTAAAATATCTGTCAGTCGCTATTGAGTGCGAATGGTTGTTACAGATGATGATGTTAAAGTAAGATCCGTCCCTATAGGAGTACACAATCAACATTTACTCATATCTTTAAAAAAAAAAACACATACACGCACGCATGCGCACGCACACTCACCCACTCACCCTCATTTGGCTACACCCACACCCACATGTAAATGTAGCAATTTTTATATCTACCTGAACAGTCGTCCCATGGTACTTTGCCATCAGGGTACCAAGTACCGTTGAGGGCACAGAAGTATAGCTTCCGGGGTCGTGTAGACATAGCATAGCCAGGTCCACAGGTCACTGAGCAGTTCATTCCCTGAGTGGTGTGGAAGCAGATCGCAGATCCACCTACTGGGTCACGTGGCTTCTGACACAAATTTTCTAAGAACACAATTATAAGAAAACATGATTTTATGTAAGAAAATAAGAAAGACAGACGTTTCTGGAGTACAATGCGTATCCTCTGTTTGCGAGACAAGTGACAAATAATTAAAATAAATGAGTCATACTGCTCCTTTCAGAGCGGCATAGAGTCTAGTATACTCTGATAGTTCGTCTTCAAGAAAAACAGATAATGATGAGGGCAGTGATGGAGGCAGTGGTGGTGTTGATTGTAATCGATGATGATAGTCCGAAGTCGCCGTGGTTGTGCTCATGAGAATGATGAAGATCATAACGATAATAGTGATGACATTGATGATAGTAGTAATCATGCTAATAAAACAAACTGATATAGAGCATAATCTCTCTATACGCTTAAAAAGGTAAACTACAACCAAACAAATACAATGTTAGCTTACAAAATACTCAAAATGGAATTCTACATTGTGGATGGCATTACAAACAAAAATCGAACAAAATGATTTATCCCTAAGCTTAACCATGACCGATGGTGCTAGTTTTAATGACGTGTAAAATTAAAAGCTAATGTTTTTCAGTATCAACATATCATCCACATAATCGGATAAGAGGTTGTAGAGAAATATTTACTCACGTTGTACATCAACATACATTACACATGAACGAGTGTTTCCGGCTGCATCCGTCGCTAGATACTCCACAAGCGTGGTACCCAATAGGAATACGCTGCCAGGGTCATGTGACCTTATCACTGTGATGTCACCACCAGAGTTGTCTGAAAACAAGGGTTCTTCCCAGGTTACTCTATGTTCTCTTTGTGATGTAATGAAGGTACTAGGTGAACGACATCGCCGGATTGATGGGGGCTCTCGATCTAGCAAATTGAAGAAGAAAAACAAAATCAAGTGAAAAAACGTTAATGGTATAAAGAATTATCACCAGTGCTAAGGTAAACAAGTCTTTTGAAGACATTTGGTTAATTGCCTCTGAAATGATTTTTATTAATTGGTGCAAAGAGTGTTTTTTTAATTCTCTTTCCAACTGAGTCGAAATCTGATGAATTAGAATTCAGGTCCTACCTTAAGCAGTGCTTGTATTGGCACTTGGGAATATAAAATTATATTACTTTATAAAACGGTATGCCAATATTTCCTTACCCTCAACAGTCACACTAAAGACACACTGCGCGATGTTTCCCGCCTGGTCAGTTGCGCTGTATGTGATATTCCATTGACCAAGAGGGAATGTCCAGGGCGGGTGTACATTGGGAATAGCACGTAGGAGCGGCATCTCTCCGGAGTTGTCTGTAGGTCTTGGTATGTCCCACTCGAGGACTACTCGATCCTGGTGCGGTGACGTCACCGTCGAGATGGCTGTTGGACACTCTAAAGAAGGTGCTATGTAATCTGGATAGGTTGCAAAAAACACAGGCAATTTTTGGATATATGTGGTTTATTTATTTACCACTCATGGGTTGGATTGCCCTTGTCAGCTGATAGCTGTTTACAACAGGGGTCCATAAAATTATCATTCTACTTCCAAGCAACTAAGTTGAAAATTAGGGCACGTTTATCGAAGAGCTACATGACAATGAATGTCTGTTCGAGTTGAAGTTCTATGACTGTATTTAAGTGAATTTATAAAGTTTAGGGCGACCATAAAATTAAAAAAACAAAAGAGAGCTACTATGAAGTGGTTGATACTATTGCTGATACAATTTGATAATCATAATGTTTTGTAATAAGTATAAAGACTTAGAGTGAGCAGGAGAGATATAAAGGTACTAAAAGAGCTGTCAAAAGTTGTATGGTAAAAGTGGCGCTAATTTTTATGTCGGTGTGTTTGTATATATATATATTTTTGTTAAAGTGTTCTTTGCCTGTTCATTGAAAGGATACGTCTACTCACCCATACACGCCTGACTTGGATCAAACTTATTGTTCCAGCTCCCATTAGCCATACATTCTTTCTTCCTAGGCCCTCTCCGGTAGAAGCCTTGAGTGCATGCAATCTTACATATATTTCCATAGTCTTGTCGCTGTGTACTGCAGTGAGATGGAGTCATGAACCCATGGGGGATAGGTGGCAACGTCGGGCACTGAATGGCTGAAATGAATTTACACCATGATTGCTACTGTCAAAACTCTTTTGTATCTTCCGTTACGAAATCTTAAGCATAAGTATACAGAGGAAGAAGGAGATATCATTTTATTAAGGGAGTAAAAGCCTCCAAGATAGAGAGAAAGGGAGGGGAGTCAGAGTTGACAGAGAGTTAGAGAATGGAATGTGAGTATTGACGAGAAAGAGAAAGAAAGAGAGACGGATAGACAGAGACTGACAGACTGACAAAAAAAGAGACGGACAAAAACAGAGATTTACACAAGGGCTTTTCTAGTCTGATTTGATCCTATAAATTGTCTGTTTCAAGGACGCCAATATTCCAAACAGATTTCTTACAATTTCAGACTTATCATCAGGTCTTGGAATCCCAGGACCCTGTTTCATAAAAATTGTTATCATTATAGCAAGCAGGCGCGTACATAGGGGGGGGGGGGGGGTTAAACCCCCCCTTTTGGTATTTTTATGTGTGTAAACCCCCCATAACCCCCTAACCCCCCCCCCCCCCTTTGGTTTTTTTTTTTTTTAATTATTAAAAAAATATATTCTCATGGCTGACCTAAAAAAGATGACCTTACCTCCCCCCAACGGAGCAAAATGGCAAACTTTCAAATTTCAAAAAAAAATGGTTTCCTCTTACCCCCCCCCCCCCCCCCCCCCCCCCCCCCCCCGCTTATTCACCGGTCGGCTGAGCCGTTGCGATTTTTTGGGGACCAAAAAAAAAAGTGTCCTCTTCCCCCCCCCCCGCCCCGCTTATCAAGCGGTTAGCTGAGTCGTTGCGAAATTTTCGGCCCGATTTATAAATGTTAAACCCCCCCCCCCCCCTTGAAAAAATCCTGCGTACGCGCCTGATAGCAAGATAAACAAATTGTTATAAGCTACTGATATCCTTACAGTTGATTGGCAAAGAGCAGATTCATCATAGATCTCTGGCACATGTTTCGATGACAAGTTTTATGAAACAGGGTCTAGTTTTTAGGATTGCGTTAGATATTATTTATGGGGTATTCTTACATCTGCAGTGTACGGGTAGTCCATCCCAATGGGCGATAGGTAGACAGCGTCTTGAGTGTGATCCTATGAGCTTAAAACCTGTATCACACGTAGCAGCACACACTGTACCAAACGCATAATCATCAGAGGTACATTGAAGGGATCCATTCAGAGGGGCAGTCAATACCTCACAGGTCTTTACTGTAATGAACATTAAAGGTAATACAAAGTTTTGGTATGGGGTCATGAATTTGGTTCAAATAAACATATTGGAAGCATATGCGATCCTACAATATTCAGTGATCGTTATCGCGGTTGAAATCGAGTCTAAAGTTATGAAATTGTAAATAATACACTCTTTATTTTGTATAGCTCCCTCTTCAGGTCAAAATATTAATTAAGCTATAAAACAATGTTTCTTGACTAAAATCGACCGATTAGGAATTCCCGTTTGGAAATTATATATCACAACTACATATTCTGAGATTTTCATGGTCGCAGCTACCATGACACGGCCGTAGGCGCTATTTGAAATTTATCCAAGTTTACCGGGAGCACCGGTAAATTTTTATATTAATTTTTTCATGAAATCAAAAGTGTTTCAGAAGCTAAATTTTCTAGTGCTTATAATACACCCACAGGGGCATCTAAATATATCAAAATTGTAAAGAATCACTATCCATCCAATTTTCAAAATTTCCCAAAACTTGTATTACCTTTAAGGGGAAAAACAACTTATACCAATAAAGATTAAGAGGCTCTAGGGAGAGATATAAACTATTACGAATTGTAAAGTCTGTGCTGTCCGTGTATCTAGCAGTGTAGAGAATTACTACCATTCACTATTATAAAAAACAGAAACATTGTACATCAGCACGAAAAAGAAGTGCATCTGTATACAAAACTAAAGAATAATCGCAGAATCGTAAACAAGTCGCTACAGCAGTCAAATGTTTGGGGCAATCCCCAGGGGCAATCCCCTCCTCTAGATAAAACTGGTGTGTGCCGACCTGGTTGGAATTCTTTATCACCTGATTAACTGTTACATAAGACAGATACAATCATTATAAGATGCATTACAGAATATTCAACGCTTACGAAAATTACACATGAAAATGTCAAAGAGCTTTTATATTTTTTAACTATACGCCTGACATAATTAATATATGATTGATAGATATACCTCGACAATCAAAACCTTCTCCAGACCATGTTCCATTTGAGAAGCAGAGTCGGATACTGCTACCCGTCACTTCATATCCGCGGTTACATCGGATCGCACAGGCTCCATTCACTACGTTGCTACACTCGACGAACTCACCACTCTCTGGTCTTTGTAGTAGAGGACAGTGGATAACTAGGAGAGCAAAGAAACAGTATTAAACATTTTTAAAAAAATCTATAATTGACAAATGGTTACAAAAAGATGGGAAAATGTTTGCATTGCCAATTTTTTTCCCCCCATAGGTCAGAACCTTTTTTTTAGTTCAAGTGTACCAATCCCCGAAACATGTTTTGCACTTCATGTAAGGGGTTCCATGTCGCTATACTGTTTGCAAAATATAAGCTTAAAATATTACTCCTACAAAGAGATATTGCAGGATAATAATAGTAAATCGTTTTTATAATAATACGGTAGTGTAAACTTATAGAGCGCACACACCGTCGAGGGACGCTCATGGCGCTAGCTCAGCAACAGTTCTCTTTTATAGTACAAGTAAAGTAAATGTTTATTTGATAATTGAGTTATACTATCAGAAGCTAAAAAAACAATTTTACACCCTTTAGTCCTGGTAAAACGGGGAAAAAGGGGGTGTGGGGGGGGGGGGGGTTTACCTTTGCACCTGTGTGTAGCTATATCCCATCTGTATCCATCCTTACATACACACATGTTAGGACTAGTGTTGTTAAAAGGGCTCACATGGTTTTGATCAGGGCATGGTAAACATGTGTTGATCCCGCCGGGTAAAGCGTCTCGTTTGTAGCTTCCGATTGGACAAGCTGGAATAGGAGGGAAATCAGGCCAAGTTTGTTATACAAAGAAACATTTGTCAATGAATTTCTTCGAGATAGAAACAAAATAATGTGGTATATTCCCTCTTATTTTTTCTCTTTTAAAATTGAATTATGAAATTGACACTCTTAAAAACAACTTTCTTTCACTTTCAATCTTCAATATGCTTAACTTCCATAACATTCATGACATTATAATGACTGATTCTTTGTTTATATGGATATATATTTATTATTTCCTTTCCAATTCTATTTGTTGTGATATTGGTTGACAGGATTGACATGCGATATTGAACAATCGATAAAGGCAATACGATGAAACATTTCATCATGGGTTTTTAATAACAAAAACCATTTGTTTACCCAGGAAACCCTCATCGGCAACGAAACTGTTTTTCATGAGGGGCTTGCATTTAGTATTACTCCACTAGCTAGACAATTGCCAATTACCCATTTGCACCTGGGTAGCTGGGTAGAGAGTGGCAAATGTGGATTGATATCTTGCCAAAGGATGCTCAGGATTCGAACCCTCGACCCTTAAATTGAGAATCAAGTGAGTGAACCACTATGTCACTACACCTCCACCAGTTTCAATTACCAGTCATTCCGATAGCGTGAAGTCTATATATCCCACTGCTGCCACCATGCTAGAGAAGGAGAATTTAAACCTTATAAGCACAACTAGAAAATGAAGCACATATTGTGCCCAAATCCAGTAGCAAATCCAGACAAAAGAGGACATGAATAATTTTGATAATCAATTTTTCTAATTCTTACAGTAATTTTTTTGGTCATGTTATCCCCACATCAACACCCTGTGGAGGGTTCATTCCCGTTTCATGTAATACTTTAAACTTACGGGTGCATTTTCCTCGAAGTCCACTGCCGTAGAAGCCAGCAGGGCATACACAGTCATAGGATCCTGTATGGGTACCACACCTACACGATGCCATCGCATCACAGCAGTGATTCTCACCTAGACATCGAGATGAACATTTCTCTGGCGTCTCCTCAATAAACTCACCCATCCGTAGATCTGCGGAATAAGCGTGTGATGTATTGATAGACTAGGATACTTCATTTAATAATGTTATAAAAAAATAACGAAAATGATAATAATAAAAATGATAATAATAATAATAATAATAATAATGATACCAAATATATTAATAATGATGATCAATAATAACTATAATAATTAGCAATTACAAGAAGAAGAAGAAGAAGTGGAAGTAGAATTGGATTTATATAACACCTTTTCCAGAGAGTACAAGGTGCTGATGTCCCTTAATCTAAAGACAAATTAAGAAGTGTAGAGGTACGTTTTTAAATGTGTTTTCTTCCTTTTAAGAAGTCTAGCAACTATAATAAATTGGCATGAATACATTACGAAAATGGTTTATCACCCGAAATAATACTTACTGTACTTTCAGGCAGGCATTGGGAAAGCCTCCTTGCCCCCAAAAGAATTTGTTTGAATGAGAAGGTGTGCATAAATTGCATATACATTGTACATAAAAAAAAAGTCTTCTGATCTCAATGTTTCCAGTATAACTAGAAGAATATCACAGACAAGAAGGACGTTGGGCTGACCTTTGAAAAGGTTGCTACACCTGTTATCCAAATAACTTACATTGTATGACCTCGATCATAGAGCTACCATCAGAGTTTATCCACATATATCTGATAGCAATGACAGGTAAAATCTATTTATGTATCTGACATTGTAAATTATCACCGTTTTCTGTGACACAACTCTTTTTCTGGCAGATAGCATTCGCTACCATATGCCTTTCACATTTATCTGAAATATATTTGTCAACAATTTATAAGGTTCTTTCGCCTATTTACCTGCACTCCTTTCAAACTAATAGGCAAAAGTAATTTAAAAAATGAAAAGAAGAAAAAGGGAGAAGAAGAGGAAGAAGGAGACGAAAAAGCAAAAGAGGAAGAGGAAGAAGAAAAAATGAAAAGAAGAAAATGAGAAGAAGAGGAGGAAGGAGACGAAGAAGAGGAAGAGGAAGAAGAATATTACATTTCCTCAAGATCGAGATATAAAAAGAGGAAGAGCAACAACAGCACCGACATCAATAACGCAAATCTAATGTGTGTATCATAGCATGACGTAACATTGAGCAAAAGTATGAAATAATTTTAGAATAGATTTATTTGGTTAAATAATCCAACTCGTCTACAAGCTTGAATTTGGAAAATCTTCAATGCATCACTCCTGTCATATTGGTATACATCACCTTCATGAAGTGCCCGTCGTGCTAAAGCTTCGAACTCTGCAAAGCTGTCGAGAATATAGCAGTGTTCATCTTTCTTCTCTGAGGCCATCTGAAGCAGTTCTGGGATGTAGCCGTCCCTGATCCCGAATGAGAACACCTCCACACCATCATCCTTAAGACTGACTGCCACGGGTACAGGGTTAGGTCCGTTGGATAGACCGTCTGTTAGTAGAAACACGGCCTGGGTCGAGTTGGCACGCGCCCCCTGCAGCACTTTCTGGCAAAAGGTGCATAAGAATAAACTCTTTACAGAATAAATGGTAAAGGTGTACGGGGCAGCTACGGAGTACGGAAAGTGGGTAGGGTGGGGGGGGGGGGGCATTCAACCCACTATACCCTTCAACAATCGAATAGAAATAACCGCCACGTCTGATTAAAGTACATGTATATATTCATTCATGAGTACACTGATTTTGTTCCTCTCATTGATAAAAAAAAGGCCTCTGTTGATCCCTTTTCAGGTGATATGTTTAGAAATGTGTAACATCTTATATCCGTCTAGATCCGTCTATCCTGACTGATTGGAGAAGGCTTAGGGGTGGTGTGGCGCGTGTCAGAACAGGGGATAAGGCAAGGGAACCTTACGTTTTTCAATAAGCAAATTAATTTTCTCAGCTCATCCAATTTACCTTCATGGGGAAAAAGACCTTACATTTTTGGAGTGAAAGACAATAGAGGTTATCAATTATCATATAGAGAGCTGCACATATAATTCTAATGCGCTCCCACCAGTCTCCATCGCCACTATATAAGGAAACAATGCAATGTAATTCGAATCATTTCAAGATGTTAAAAAAGGACATATGAAGCAAACGTTTTGGACACATTATACAACTTTCCTATTTACATGTATTAACAGTTGACTTTGTATTATGTTATGGGTTATAATCGTCTTGAGGTAACTTGCTATATCAAAATATAATTTTTTCTTCTTCTAGAAATGTCGCACTGGGAAATGCTTATCTAAACGTCACCAATGCTTCTACCTGCTCTTACAGGAAAACCACAAAACTAGGGAAGGAAGTTTAAAAAGTCCAATCAGCACGTGCTTTGAGGACAACTAGAAACGGGAAGGATATATGACAACTTAAAGATAAAGTTGAGTTCTGGTCATGCGATTACATTGTGAAAGAAACAGTGTGGAATCGATCAGAAAAGGTTGATTATTTTATATAGCATATAACTAAATTGGTGTGTACTGCAAAGTTCTGGAGTCATCAAATGATACGAAATTTGGCCCAGTCTTGGTTAAGGTAACAAGCACTGTACACAGAAAAAATATGTAGGACTACACGAACATGTGGAGAAAAATGAGGCCCACATTTTTAAGCTGTTAGTGTTACATGTCATATTTATAATATGAAGGCATTTGAAGATCTATGCTTTTCAGTGAAATTTTTTTCTCTGATGTTCTTCCACACTTGCATAATTACAAGGAAAAAGCTCATGATTTTTTTCACCTCTCCCCGGAACTCAACCTAATTTCTTTTTAAAGCGAAATGCATAATGAAAATTATCACTATAATGTAGGAAATGCAATAATAGCTTTAAAGTCATACTTCACATCAAAGTCTAAACCCTTAAAAACTGAGCGACAGTAGATATATTTCATTTCATATTATCCCATTAAATCCACTGTTTTGCCTCCGATACTCAACTTCTGAAATTTTCCTTAGGACCTCCCCGGCCCCACCTAGCTCCCCCCAACGAGAAACTTCAAAGTTATCAAAAAATGATCGGTATTTTGAAATTTCACCATAAATCAAGAGAAATATGATAATCTGCTAGTACGAGGCCTAGACAATATGAATTATATAAGCCCCAGAGCTATTTCATGTTCTCACCACATGGCACATTGTCAGTTAATTTGCAATGGTTGTTTGCATAAAAAATACATTGCACGTTGGTCTAGGAAGGGAAATGGATCTTTAAATATGGGTTATCACTTTGATCAACCTACAATCTTCATAATAAGTCAACACAAACCCACTTCAGCGGATGAACGGGGGAGGAGGTCCATGGCCCCCTTGTGCCTCCTGGCTACGCCTTTGAATACATATTTTAAAAGTGCTGTGCATGACAATGGGTGTAGTCACGAAAGGTGTTAATTTACCTTCTGTCTGAATCTCCATTCCAACCACTGCATGATACAGATCACGTGACCGATCAATGTGCTAACAGTGTACTCAGGTCTTGTCTACCGTGAAGTCATATGAGTGAACACTTCCGATGGCATTGACGTGTATTTAGAGGTAATGTCTGGCATACAAGCTGTGAACACTTCAATCAGGATAATAATCAACACCTGAATCTCACCTCTACCGCGATCAACTAGTGATCGAATCGATTAAACACACGAAAACTCTTAGTCTGACAAGTATATTTCCTCGGTCACTAACTTTCAATCTTAATCATTTGTTTAAATAGCCTACTCCATCCGTCTTAGAAATATGTCTTTTGTTCATTGGTTGGTCAAATGCTCTTCATGTGATTATTGATCATTTTATCTGCAGAGAAATTCCTTCGAGTTTTATTATTTTCTCGAAATGTATACAAAGTCGTGTAGATTCGGTATTTCTGGATCTTTGCAACAACAAAAAAAGATTTAGACGCATAAATATTTTCAGGGGCACGCGCGTCCTTCTATTGCCCTTGACGATGTGAACAGGGGCGACGAAATATCGGGTGTGTGTTTGTTTAAGGGTGGGGGGCCGGGAACGGAAACTGAAAGAGGGGGCTGACCCCTTTTCATTTTTCCACTAGCGGATCTGGAATTATGTGGCTAGGAATGAGATGCATACAAGTTTCAAGAGCTGACAAGCTAAAGAGGAAAAATGAAAAACGAAGAAGAAAAAAAAAACGGGGAAAAAATACAAAAAAGCAAACAAATGAACAAGTACGGAAAAAAAAACATAGAAAAGGTTATCATATTTGACCAGGCCCACACCCGCATATTCTCCACATTTGAGTAAAGGTATACTGCCTTTCCTCAACAACTGCTTTCAAATTTTCCATTAGTGTCTATGCAGATTGGGGGAGGGCGTGGTGGTGATCAGCCCCGCGGCCCCTAATGTCGCCGCCCTTATGTCTGGATATACTGTAACACTCTGTAAAAAGCTCTTGTAAACAGAATGTTCTTTTCACACCTGTTTCAAGTGTTTTCACCCCTAATACTGAGAGGAAGTAATATAAACACATCCTCCATGTGTGCTACAGGTGAAAGTGGTATGGGGGTCCGGAATAGAAGCAGGTATTTATTATTTTACTCTCTGAGACGTGTTATGATTTACTACGCACAAGTCGATCTCTTGGTTGCTTTCCGTTGAAATATAGTTTAATAATATCCATTCTGTTCTTTGAATTCCTAGCTTGTAAAGCCATTTTCTGTAGGGTTCATGATTATATCAATCCATACGGGATTAAGAGTTATCTATTAAAACAGACACAGCAATCTAGTGTTTGATAATTGTACACTGTCAATGGTATTGCTATCAATGATTATTCGAAAAATCACAAGGCCTATGCAGGATGGTTATTTATAATCTTGTGAAAATAGAAATCCCTCAATGTAATCTATGAAATGGTGATAAGAACAAAATCAGTTGTTGCAACTAGACAACTAGTTTTAACGTGAAAAATGTATTTAAATAAAGAAGGAGAAGAAGAAGAAGAAGAAGAAGAGGAAAAAACCGAACGTGCCACTAAAATTGGGCCAATGTTTTCAACCTAATGGCATTATAACACTTTTCACACTGTGCTAGGCCATGTGTGCAAGACAGCAGCTCACATTATGCTGCAAGATAAACTAGGAATAGTTTGGTTTGAGAAAGCGACCAAAGAAATCCAGCCGTGATTTCCCTCTCAAAACACCGGAATATTATCCGCAAAGACCGCATTGTTATTCTTTGCAGGTTGATTGCTTGTTTAATGCCCTGTAATTACGAAAAGACCGTTTCCCTTTCAGATCCAGAGTGCCGAGTACATTGCCAAACTCACTATATAGCCGAGTTCCCCAATTTTACGAGCAATATATTGGGTACACTTGACAAAAGGTATGCTCTGAAAAAAAGTTGGCTTCTAATATCCATAAACATGATGGCAAAAAGTGCCTTAACCACAAACGTTTTACACGATTTCTTGTATCAAGCGACTATCGAACGATGTCATAGATATGTTTTCCTTCCTATATATGAACAGATTTCATGAATGTGAACATTGCATAAACGTAATAAGAAAGTCGCGACATGAGTGAAATATTCAAAAAAGGGAAAAAAACCGTCTGTTTAGAGCGAGAAAAGCATACTTAATTGTTAATATGTTTAAGCCCTTCTTGTTCTCAACTGCAATTGAACAATGGTGTGTTCTGTACCATGCATAGTATAGAGTCCTTCTAATTAATTGCAGACTGCTCTGCATGTGGTACCTGATATATAGATGAACTTAGAACCCATATGACCAATTAAAGTCTCAACATTTTATTTCAAAAAGAGGTTTTCTAATCAAAGTGGAGGAAATCGTATTAGATTGAATTGCGAAAACATAAAGAGAGAACACAGATATATTTTAAAGGTCAAAATGCAGAAGTGATTTGTGTAAATTTCTCGATGTTAAAGATACTGAATCCAATGACCGGGGTAATAGTATATTTGTAAAGCGCTTAGAGACATTGTATTAAGCGCTATATAAAAGCTAAATATTATTATTATTATTATTATGTCCCTTTTGCAGCTAACATCGAATTCCGTAGAACTTTACAGGAATTATGAATATGCCATGTATTTCCTTTCTGTAAAATTCAAACATTAGCAGTGTCCTAGTATTCAAATTATGCAAGGAAACCCGTTATCCTCTAGACTTCACTGTCAGACACTACTGATTGACTAACTGACATCTTTTTTTCGTTGGTAATAACATACATAATTGACATACATAAAATGAGCTGTAACAGGTACATGAGCACTTGTCTACATCAATAACCCACTACTTGTAATGGCCAAAATTAAACTGATTGAATCTTTGTGCAGCACGAAACGTACGACCATGGTTTAAGTTGATTATTCCGTCTAGACTATTAAATCATCCTCTATACCATTTACTTTCAGGTCACCAGGAAATCTATATGACGTAATCTCCCTTCCTTGGAAGATACTTAAACTGCACATGCAATTATGTTCGTGAACATATTACACGGTTGTAGGTATTACTGCCAAAAAAAGACAAGACATGAAATTGCTCTATTGGGTGGCTTTAACTGGACCTTAATAGTTATAATGGAGAGGTTTAGCCTTTCATTGATGACCCCACATTATTACCTGAAATCGATATATACGCCGTTCGTGATATTTATTGTAGAAATAAATGCCAAAAACTAACCGTTTTCGCGCTTGGTTTAATCTGTATTAAATGTAATGCTACACAACGTTGAACAAAACTCTCAATGTACAAATGTCAAGGAAATATATATTCTTCGAATGCTAATACCGACATTCTCTCCCTTCCCAATTAGACTCTACGCGAGTTTAAGTAAATTATAGAGGCCAACTGTTCATCTTATTTTTTTTTTTATCTTTATTGAAAATTAAATGGATGGTAATTAAGGCTACAATTCCATAGTGCACCAGTATAACATAATTGAAGACTGTAATTCTATCTTCCAATTTTTATCTTTTAATTTGGAGTTCTTCTCTACATGAATATATAATGTCTACGTCTGTAGTGAAACTTCAAAAGGATGATTCATGAGGTTTAACAAAAAGCATATTAAATTTTGTTTTAATATCATGAATATCTCTAAACCATTCAATACGTACCTTGGCAAGCTCGAAAGCTCCTTTTGTGTACGTTCCTCCACCGACGTATGTAATCTTGGGAAGGTCTTCATTCAAGAGAGCACATTTATGATGATGTTTACCTGCGATGCTATTATCAAGCTGGTTAACGTTCAACTCAACTCGATGTTTGGATGAGAAAGTGATTATAGCTACTCGTGTCGCATCGGGTGCTACCGTAAAGTCCGCCAAAAGTTTCTTCACAAATTTGAGTTCATTGAAGAAATTCTCGATCCCGACACTGGCCGAGCTGTCGACGAGAAAGACCAACTCGACTTGGCCATTGCTGACACGACGGAGTTTCTCTACTTGTTTCTTGAGAAGATACCCGAGGACATCTATTTTAGTAGCAGACGATGTATCCATGGGAACGTCTGCGTTCCTCCAGAGCGCCTCATAAAGCTCATGATGAGATTGTTCCAGGTCGATATCGAGGTAGGATAAGGATTGGATGAGAGGGAGAGGCAACGGATCGTCGGCGGGACGGGGCTGGCTGACTAAGCCATCAGCTTGAGGGTAATCCGCAAATTCCAGCTGGCGATGTTCATCTGGAAAAGAGATATTTATTCCTGAAGCGAGAAGCAGCTTTAAGTCTGGAGCTCTTGCCGGGAGTCCTCTCACAAAAGACAATGAGAAACACAAGAAAGGTAGCAATACACTGATGAGATAATAATACCTTGCCATCGTTACGACTAAACGCGTTCAAACTATGAATAAAACAATGATTTCATCCTCAAAACAGCATTATCCTCCATCCTGCCAGCAGCAATAAATCCTCGAATATAGTATGCATTCCGTATTCATGTTTATATCATACAAAAGCTGCTGTCTAGCACAGATAATGATCAAATCACCGCATTCAACAGCAAGAACATGATATAGATCAACAAAGAGGGTTCATTGGGAGTGATATACGGAGAGCGACAAATCACAGCCAGACTCCGGAAAGGTTACGTTTATTCTAACAGCACTGTAGGTAGTCGCATGCAGAGAGCCCTTCCTCTGGTGTGGGATGGTTTAGGGCAGGCAGACGGTATAAGAACACCTGTCTGGAGCTATAACGGGGTGTGTGGAATCGTAGGTCCACTGCGAAACAGGGGCTAGGGGGATTAGCAGTTATCAAAAGTAAAAACATGTTAGCGGTTGTCCGCAAACAGTAGCCTGCAAACGATAGCCCTTGATCATTCATTGTTCTCAAGAAAATTCAATTTGGGTTCTTTACTGTCAATTAATCATTAACATTTCCGTGGAAAACAAAAACATAGTCGACTTCTACATTCAAACAATTTTACTTTGTTTTTGTTTCATTTGTTACACTTTCTTGTCATCATCTTAATTATGGAGAAAACGATGCACCGAAGAAAACCATAAGTATGGATGAAATAAAATGTAAATTGATCGTATGATCTCTCTCTCTCTCTCTCTCTCTCTCTCTCTCTCTCTCTCCCTCCCTATGTATATACATGTACATGTATATTTGTTTGTTTATCTCTCTCCCCCCCCCCCCTCTCCAAACTCCTCCCCTTATATCTAAAGTTTGCAATTAGATGTACCACATTTACCTACCACCTAAATATGTTGGTTGAGGACATTAATCCTAATGGCCACTAAACACAGTGACGATCTCCCTGATTGTATTAGTATAACCATAATCAGATTGATCATTATTGTATGACTGCTTAACGTCCCTTTCAACGTCGGTTACTCTTTTTCTATATATATTATATTCCATATACTATTACAGTACTCACAACTTACAACTTACACATCTAAAATGATAATTATGATGCGATGAGTAGTCTTTTTACTTTTTACTTATTATTTAGGTTCAATGGGATATTAACCAAATAAAGTTTAGCAATGTCAACTTAGCTGATGATTCTGATATAAGTTAACACCACATGATAGTCTCAATCTTTGCAGTTGCGTAGCTACCGCATGTGGGGGGGGGGGGGGGGGGGGGGGGGGGTTCGCAGGGTGCAAAGTTTGAATGAATAACTTTTTCTGAAATATGATAAAAATGTTTGAACCTTGCTCATCCTATGAAAAATAATCCCTTGTCGGTTGACGTTATCCTTACCACACATCAGCGGGGATCTTTCTGATATCACTTATCACACGCGCACAGAACGCTTATGTCAATAAACTTTCATCTCTCTCTTTTTTACTGTCATTTTCACGGGCGTTTATACCAATTTGATCTGAGGTCAAATGATTTATTCCCGTCGTGAAGCTCCTTGCTACTGCCTCTCAGCTCTCCTTGTGAGGTATGTTCTTGATGCTTGTCAGCATCCATCCCTTTACTTGCAGATTACCATCACAAATAAAACAATTTTTAATAATCTTATTAATAATGCATTGGAGCAAGATGATTTCTCCCCCTTTAATATTTATTCTAGGAGATTCCGAAAACTTGAACAAACCAAATGTATTTAGAAATTATGGAAATAAATCGATGGGCGAGTGAATTAAGCTAATTAGTTCAGGCATTTACCCCTATGAACTTTACTGACAAAGAAAGCGGACAAAATATACAGTTCCTCAGGTAGACAAAGGAACATCCCTTCACTGCTATTATGTAAAAATTTGTAGAACAGGTGTCACATGCATATTCAACTTTTTACATAATAGCAGTGAAGGGATGTTCCTTTGTCTACCTGAGGAACTGTATATTTTGTCCGCTTCCTTTGTCTGTCATGTTCATAGTGTACCTTACTTTAAAGACAGTATTTCGTATTATGCGCTATAAAAATCCAGATAATTAAATATCTGTTGACTACACGACTTGGAGGACACTCGTCTGATTTTTGGTTCTTTCTTGTATCCTAAATTTTAATTTATTAATTGTAAACTCTAATTTACTATCAACCATGATTCCTTTTTCTTATTCTTTATATTATTTCATTTATGAAATCAAGAAGTAGTAGGCCTTTCAGCTTTTAGCCATGATTTTGATTGTTTTTTATTTAATAAAAACAATAAAACTTACCAATTCAATTCAATTCAATAGGCCTACGAAAATGAATCTCAAAATGATGTCGACAAAAGCAGGAACATATTCAGGAATCGCTTATCAAGAGCGGTTTGTGATATAAACAGAACAGCATTTATTTTCAGGCCGATGTGTTTTAACATGGAGTTGTCATAATTTGTAATAACAAATTGAAGGGGTTTTTGTTTTGCCGGGTTTTGTGCTTTGCTTTCACAATCTTGTCTCTCTCGCCTCTCTCACCCCGTCCCCCTTACCCCGGCCCCTTACATCTTCTTGCTTTATCCCTTTTTTGTTAATCTCTCACCTATGGTGGCTCGAAGGGACATCGCGAATAGACTAAATCGTGAAAAATATGCGATAAAATTCACGATATCGTCAATTTTATCGCATATTTTTCACGAAGAAATTCACGAAATTGACGATATCGTGAACTTTATCGTGAACTTTTCACGATGAAATTGACGATATCGTGAATTTTATCGTGAAAAGTTCACGATATAAAGTTCACGATATCGTCAATTTTATCGTGTACTCTATCGTGTACTCTATCGTGTACTCTCCTGACGGGCGCTTTGTAAACAAAACCAGCCCTAGCTGGGGGAGACAGAGAGAAGGAAAAAAGGGAAAGGGAAAGAGAAGATAAAAGGAAAGAAAGAATAATAAGAAGAAAAGAGGGAAACGGGGGGGGGGGGCGAAGGGCTCTTGCCTCCTCCTCACTCCCCCCCCCCTCCCCGCCAAAAAATAAATCAGAGAGAGAGAGAGAAGGGAAAGGGAAAGGGAAAGAGAAGACAAAAGGAAAGAAAGAAGAGGAAGAAGAAGAAAAGAGGAAAACGGGGGAAGGGCGAAGGACTCTTGCCCCCCCCCCCCTCCCCCCCCGCCAAAAAATGAATCAGAGAGAGAGAGAGAGAGAAGGGAAAGGGAAAGGGAAAGAGAAGATAAAAGGAAAGAAAGAAGAGGAAGAAGAAGAAAAGAGGGAAACGGGGGCAAAGGGCTTTTGCCTCGTCCCCCCGCCCCCCGCCAAAAAATAAATAAGAGAGAGAGAGAGAAGGAAAGGGAAAGAGAAGAAAGAAAGAGAAAAACGAAAAAGAGGGAGAATAGGAAAGAAAGGAAAAGAAAGAAAAGAAAGGAGGCAAGAGCCCTTCGCCCCTGTTTCCCTCTTTTCTTATTCTTTTACCTCTTCTTTCTTTCCTTTTATATTTTCTTTCCCTCTCCCTTCTCTTTCCCTTTATGGCGGGAGGGGGGAGGGGGAGGTAAGAGCCTTTCGCCCTTCCCCCGTTTCCCTCTTTCCGTCTTCTTCTTCTTTCTTTCCTTTTATATTTTCTTTCCCTTTCCCTTTCCCTTCTCTCTCTATCTCTCTCTCTCTCTCTCCTATTTATTTGTTGGCGTGGGAGGGGGGAGGAGGCAAGAGCCCCTCTTTTCTTCTTATTCTTCTTCCTTTCCTTTTTTATTCTCTTTCCCTTTCCCTTCTCTCTCTCTCTCTCTTATTTATTTTTTGGGCGGGGGGATGCAAGAGCCCTTCGCCCCCGTTTCCCTCTTTTTTTCTTCTTCGTCCTCTTCTTTCTTTCCTTTTATCTTCTCTTTCCCTTTCCCTTTCCCTTCTCTCTCTATCTCTTATTTATTTTTTTGGCGGGGGGTGGGGAGGGAGGTGGCAAGAGCCCTTCGCCCTTCCCCCGTTTCCCTCTTTCCTTCTTATTCCTCTTCTTTCTTTCCTTTTATATTTTCTTTCCCTTTCCCTTCTCTCTCTTATTTATTTTTGGCGGGGGGGGGGGGGGAGGAGGCAAGAGCCCTTCCCCTGTTTCCCTCTTATTCCTCTTCTTTCTTTCCCTTTCCCTTCTCTCTCTCTCTCTCTCTCTCTCTTATTTATTTTTTTGGCGGGGGGGGGGGGGAGGTAAGACCCTTTCGCCCTTCCCCCGTTTCCCTCTTTCCTTCTTCCTCTTCTTTCTTTCCTTTTATATTTTCTTTCCCTTTCCCTTTCCCTTCTCTCTCTCCTTATTTATTTTTTGGCGGGAGGGGGGAGTGAGGAGGAGGCAAGAGCCCTTCGCCCCCCCGTTTCCCTCTTTTCTTCTTATTATTCTTTCTTTCCTTTTATCTTCTCTTTCCCTTTCCCTTTTTTCCTTCTCTCTGTCTCCCCCAGCTAGGGCTGGTTTTGTTTACGAAGCGCCCGTCAGGAGAGTACACGATAGAGTACACGATAGAGTACACGATAGAGTACACGATAAAATTGACGATATCGTGAACTTTATATCGTGAACTTTTCACGAAAAAATTCACGATATCGTCAATTTCATCGTGAAAAGTTCACGATAAAGTTCACGATATCGTCAATTTCGTGAATTTCTTCGTGAAAAATATGCGATAAAATTGACGATATCGTGAATTTTATCGCATATTTTTCACGATTCAGTCTATTCGCGATGTCCCTTCAGGGCCACCATACTCACCCCCTCTGCTTTCCTCAAGCTCCATAACCACTTTCTCTTCTCCATCAGCCCCCCCCCCCCCCTCTCTCTCTCTCTCTCTCTCTCTCTCTCTCTCATATCTCTGCATCCTACACCAGCTTGCTCAATTTTCGAACGTATCTCCCGAGTTTTTTATTCAAAGGAAAAATACCTGAATCACATATTCACATTTTTTAATATTCTAATCTAAATGTTAAAGGGACAGTCGAGTTTTTGTTTAAGACCGTTAATGCCTTCAAAGGTTATTTCTCTTATTCTTATTTATGACACTTCTAGTGCACTTTTAGGACCTAAAATTGCTATGACGGTAATTTTAAACCTGAAGATTGCATGCGATTTTGTTCAAACAAAGATGATTTTGTCATTTAAATTGTATGCTCTTTCAAAATTGACACTTAAGTTTTTATTATCTCACAAAATAAATATTTTGTGTAGCGACCTCTAGACCAAATCTCAACTATCCCTCTAAATCCCCTATTCAGAATAATGATTGATTCACTCCAGTAATAACATTAGAAATCAAAGTATGAACGGAATAACGAAGAGAATATCCTTAACGATTAAACAAAATATATATTAACAAAATATG